CTCTCTGGTCTCTCTCTGGTCTCTCTGATCTATCTCTGATTGCCCTCTGGTCTCCCTCTGGTCTCCCTCTGGTCTCCCTCTGGTCTCCCTCTGGTCTCTCTTAGGGTCTCTTTCTGGCTCCCCTCTGGTCGCCCTCTGGTCTCCCTCTGGTCTCCCTCTGGTCTCCCTCTGGTCTCCTTCTGGTCTCCCTCTGGTCTCCTTCTGGTCTCCCTCTGGTCTCCCTCTGGTCTCCTTCTGGTCTCCCTCTGGTCTCCTTCTGGTCTCCTTCTGGTCTCCCTCTGGTCTCCCTCTGGTCTCCCTCTGGTCCCTCTCTCTGGTCTCTCTGGTCTCCCTCTGGTCTCCCTCTGGTCTCCTTCTGATCTCCCTCTGGTCTCTCTCTGGTCTCTCTCTGGTCTTCCTCTGGTCTCCCTCTGGTCTCCCTCTGGTCTCCCTCTATTTTATGGAGTAAAGAAACACTACATTGTTAAGGAGTGGTTAAATGGCGTATTGTTCCAGCCCATGTCTTTCAATGTGGAGGAACGAGACACAATCGTCATAAAACTGTATAATGGGATTAAACACATAGAGCCGGGGTTTGGAACCATATTTAGGAATGTTTTTAAAGCTCTCGCTGATGTTTGCAGACTGGGTCCTTTGTGTCGCAGCTGCTGCTCCTCCTAACGACTCTACAACATGTAATTATCCCCATCGAACCCTCATTTTATCATAATCAGCACAGAAAAGAAGAAGAAGAGAGCCGAGAAGCCAGACTCTGGAGGGTTCATTCTGTCATTCATATGTCATCTGCATTAACACCACAACCTAACATGGTGTGGTCCAAGGGAGGCAGCATATACGTCAGTCACAGTGCAACCAGTTTACAGAAGGTCTGAAGCGGGTCTAAAGCAGGACTAAAGCAGGTTTAAAGTAGGACAAAAGCAGGACTAGTAGGACTTAAAGCAGGACTAAAGCAGGACTAAAGCAGGTTTAAAGTAGTACTAAAGCAGGTCTAAAGCAGGTCTAAAGCAAGACTAAAGCAGGTTTAAAGTAGGACAAAAGCAGGACTAAAGCAGGTCTAAAGCAGGACTAAAGAATGTCTAAAGCAGGTCTAAAGCAGGTCTAAAGCAGGTCTAAAGCAGGTTTAAAGTAGGACTAAAGCAGGACAGGACTTAAAGCAGGACTAAAGTAGGACAAAAGCTGGACTAAAGTAGGACTAAAGTAGGTCTGAAACTGGTCTAAAACAGGTACAGGTCTAAACCAGGTTTAAAGCAGGACTGGCAGATCTAAAGCAGGAATAAAGCAGGTCTAAAGTAGGTCTAAAGGAGGTCAAAAGCAAGACTAAAGTAGGTCTGAAACCGGTCTAAAATAGCTACAGGACTAAAACAGGTCTAAAGCAAGTCTAAAGCATGTCTAAAGCAAGTTGAATTACAAAAATATATATTATATTATTTTAATTGCTGTTAAATGACAAGACCTCAAATTCAAGGAAAAAAACAAATTCAAGCTCTAAGCCTGTTATTTCCAAACCTGATTCAAAGCTACAGAGATGGAAGATCATTTAATGTTTGTGAAGCAAAAACTGAAGCTGCCTCGTCCAGTTCCAGGCCCTACTCCGTGTCCATTACACTTTCTGATCTGGTACCGTATCCAAGCAACATTCCCACAACAAATCAGTATCCGGGGAAATGCTGCGGCAAGAGTATAGCAGAGTGGAGCAGAGCAGAACATGGTATAGGGTGTGGATTTTAAGATGACTGAGCCCGAACTAAAACCGGACTCAACATGAGAACAGCAGACGGAGAAGGACAGTGTGTGCGTGCGTGCATGTGTCTCTGTCTGTATTCATGCCCGTGTCTGTGGGTATGTGTGAGCCCGCGCGTGTAAGTGCTTGTATCACTGTGTTTGCCCGCGTGTTTTTTTTTCTATGCGCGTGCATGCTGTCTGATGTGACATGTGCGTAAAAGTGTCCACGCGCGCATAGCCCGTGCCGCGTGCGTACCTTGTCTCCGGAGCCTCCTCTTCTTCAGGCCGAAGATGCGCACTTTGGAGAAGATGTCCACCAGGTTGTTGTTGCACAGACCCGGCTTCTTCCCGGGGCTTTTCCGCCTGCGGTGCGGGGTGGGGCGGTGCGCGTTTTGCTCGCGCGCCTGCCGCTTCTGTCGGATCAAACCGCTGGCGATCGCAGCTGCCATGTCTCCGCCGCACGCGCGCTCGTCTCCTCACACCGCCCCGGTTCTGCCGCCCTGCTCACCTCCTCTCCTCCTCTCCTCCTCTCTGCTCTTGCCGCACCTCCTCACGCGTGTCCCCAGCACGAGCCCATTGGTCACGGGTCCATGATGTCGCGCGCACCTGTCCGTCACGTTGGTGCTGCCATCTTCTTCTCACATCCGCGCCTGTGCCGCGTGTGCCACGTCTGCCGCCTCCCACCGTGCTCCAGCTGTGCTGCTGAGCGGAAAAGGCGCGCGCGCAGACGCGCGCAGACACAACACCGCGAGTGCAGACAGGTGTTTCCCAAACGGGGGTCGCAGCACCAGAGGCGCACGCGCCCCATGAGCACCATGCTAATTACTAAAGTTCAAATACTGCAATACCATTAAACGATATAAACATCATAGTCCAGATTTCGATCTGGATCAGTCCTGGATCAGTCCTGGATCAGTCCTGGTTCAGTCCTGGTTCAGTCCTGGTTCAGTCCTGGTTCAGTCCTGGTTCAGTCCTGGTTCAGTCCTGGTTCAGTCCTGGATCAGTCCTGGTTCAGTCCTGGTTCAGTCCTGGTTCAATATTATAAAATATTAAAATATATTCAACACAACATAAATTATTTCCCAAAGGGTTTCTCTTCACAGTGTGGGCCATGTCCCTGCTCCTCCTGTTCCTCTTTTGTCTTTAATAATAAACCCTGCAGCCTGATGAAAGTTTAAACCTGTTTTAATAAATAAAACTGTTTTATTCTGTGTTTTTTTTTTCTTTTTTGACGCAGAATTCAACCTGAAAATAAAATGTGAGAATCCAGGTCAGAGAGCGGTGATTCAGCACCACAGACAGCTCCAAAAGGGAAACTATCCCCAAAATACTGCTACTACTTTTTAGTATGTTTTTATTTTTTATATCCAAGCCTGGAGTTATTGAGTGAGAGAAAGCTATGCCTCACGGTTGACTCGGGCAATAGTCTTATTGACAGAGAATCCCACCTTACAGGTGCGAGCTCCTGAGCATGTGACCCAGAGGGTGGGGAGCGACCCCAGGTAGACGGCCCGGGTACTGCAGGACTTGGCCTCTTTAAAGTGGCCTCACTTGCTAAACCTACAGTGCTTCAAGAAACGTGGTCCAATTTTCTGCTGACATATTTTGGGCTTTTGCGTCTTCTTTGATTTGTTGTTCCATTGTTTCCTTTGTTCGCCTTCTTGTTTTTTTCCTTTTGATATCCAGTCAAGAATGATTTTTTGTATTGTTGAGTCTTTCATTGACCATCCATTCTTCTTTTGCAATCTCAGGATTTTAGAGCGTTTGCATTTTAGACTCAGCTCTAGATGTAACGTGAGCGCTTGTTTGAATCCCAGTTATTCTTTTCAGTATTGAAATGCCTCCAGCCTCGGCTCACCGTCCTTCTTGATGACCCATGTCTCTGATCCAGCAGGACGCTCAGCACCAAGGACCTGTACAATGCCTCTTTTGTTTCTAGTCTGTATTCTGTAGAACTACGAATGCTACTACTACTACGACTGCTAGTACTACTACTACTACTACTGCTACTACTGCTACTATACTGCTGCTACAAGTATGGCTGATACTACTACTACTACTACTAATGGTAAGCATAACTGGTAAGCAGCAGTACTGAGTAACAAGCAGGTCACAGAGAGACAAACCAGGACTGTCAGGCGACAGTGGCTCAGTTGGTAGAGCACTGGCCTTTGAGCCAGAAGGTTGTGGGGTCGAGCCCACCTCAAGACTTTCACCATCGACTCCCACTGTCTGCTGTCGTTGTGTCCTTGGCAAGACACTCAATTTCTCGGAACACCAGCCACAGTGGGGCGGCTGCGGCTGTAAAGTGGCAAACTGCCGTTGTGTCCTGAGGCAAGACACTTCACCCCCATTGCCTAGAATGAGTCTGGTGTGTGTGTGAATGGTTGGTGGTGGTCAGAGGCAGGTGGCACATACTGGTTGCCTCGCTTCTGTCAGTGTGCCCCAGGGCAGCTGTGGCTACAGTAGTAGTTTATCACCACCGTGTATGGAGTGAAAGAATAATGACATGTAAAGCGTCGTTGAGTGCTACGTATATAAAACTGATGCATTAAGCAGGACTAAAGCAGGACTACAGCAAGACTAAAGCAGGACTAAAGCAGGTCTACAACATGACTAAAGCAGGACAAAAGCAGGTCTAGGACTGCTTGGTAAATCTAATAAAAACACTATTAATATGACTATTAACAATGAAATTACAAATGATCCCACTGCTATTGCCAATGCTTTCAGTCTGCACTTCTCCCAATCTCCTCACGTTCATCCTCCTTTCCATTCAGCTGCTTCTGACCACTACACCCAACCATGCAGCAGTTCTTTTTCATTTGCAGAAATTAGTCCCTCTGATGTCGAAAGGGCTATAGGAGAACTGTCTTTCAACAGCAGTGCTGGTCTAGATGGCATTGAAAGTAAATTTATTAAAATAGGCTCTTCTGTCTTATCAGCTCCCTTGGCTGCACTCTTTAACCTTTCTCTTTCTACAAACACTGTCCCTCTCTCCTGGAAATGTGCCAAAGTAATTCCACTATATAAATCTGGTGACCCCGAGAATATCAACAACTACCGACCCATTTCAATAATCAATAGTATCGTCAAAGTCTTTGAAAAAAATATTTTTAACCAGCTCTCTAACTATCTAACTGACAATGAACTTTTATCCCAAAATCAATCTGGCTTCAGAAAACACTTCTCCACAACCACTGCCCTTCTAAAATTAACAAATGATATATTTTCAAGTTTTGACAAAAGTTTTTATACAGGCGCATTATTTCTTGATTTGACCAAAGCTTTTGATTTGGTTGATCACTACTTACTTTTGGATAAACTTCACAATCTGGGTCTATCTAGATCTGCTTTACTTTGGTTCAATTCCTACCTTCACTCTTGACAACAGTGTGTGTCCTTTGGGGGTAGCCAGTCAAATCTCGCAGGCATAGACAAAGGTGTTCCACAAGGTTCCTCTTTGGGCCCTTTACTTTTTTCTATTTTCATTAACGACCTCCCGAGCATCTGTTCTAACTGTGACATCCAGTTATATGCAGATGACACTATTATTTACTGTTCAAAACCTAACGTCTCTGACATCAGCAACTCCCTGCAAAATGATTTTGATTTAGTTCAACACTGGCTCTTGTCCAATAAACTCATTTTAAATACAACCAAATCATATGCCATGCTTTTTCAGAAGACAAACAAACACTTACCTGAGCTCAACCTTCACTTTTTAGATTTGTCTCCTGTGAAATGTGTGGATGAGTTCAAATACCTCGGCCTTTGGCTGGATTCCACCCTTTCTTTTAAAACTCATATTCATAAGACAGTCAATAAATTAAACTATTCTTTAAAAACTTTATATTGTTCAATCAACTGCTTTAATGTTTCTGTCAGGAAAAGACTTGTTTCTCAGTTATTACTTCCCATCCTTGATTATGCCGATATTGTTTATCAAAATACAACCGCCACATGTCTCTAGCCCCTCAATACTGTCTACAACAGCCTGTGTAGGTTCGCTCTGCGCTGCCCCTACAGGACACACCACTGTGACATGTTTCTCCAACTGTCCTGGTCCTCACTGCCTGCACGTCGACACTCTCACTGGTTGTTTTTCATTTTCAAATGTAATTATTTTAATTATCCCACATACCTAAAACAATATCTTACACCTTTTAGTTCCACTTACAGTCTTCGTCACACTGAAATTCTTTTCTTCCACACCCCCCGTGTTAAAAAAGAAATAGGAAAACATGCTTTTCATTACAAAGCCCCAACGGACTGGAACCTTCTTCCACCTACCATTTGCTCCCTGACCTCCTTTCCTTTGTTTAAGAACGCTGTGTTACAGCATTTTAAAACTGTCTGTAATTGCTTCTGATGTGTCTTCTATTGTATTGTGTTTCCATTAGTATTATAATGTATTTATTTTGTGCTGTACTTTACTGTAGTTATAGGGGGAGTGGGTAACCTCTGAGAGCTGAGTGTGTGTGTGTGTGTGTGTGAGTGAATGTGCTGAGCTTTTGTCCTGTTTTTTTTTTTGTGTGTGTGTGTGTTTAATGTAATAATTTTGTTTTGCATATAATTGACTGTTGCTGCTGTACTGTTATTTTTGAATCTGTTTTTGAGGACCCCCTCGGAAACGAGATGTTTCATCTCAAGGGGTTATTCCTCTTAATAAATGTTAATAATAACTAGGAGCTGTTTGCTAAAGCCTCTTTGTGTCTGTGGTTCACAGATCTCTCAGCAGAGGGCGCCACAATCCCGGAGCTCTGTCCTTCAGACACGTGCGTTATAGCTCCATAAGAACATTAGAAATATTTTATGTCTCTTTGATAATATTCAAAATACTTACAGGACTTACAAGCAGCTTCCATATTTTTACATATCTGTGTAATACACTTAGAAGCATGGCTAATCACTTCAAATCTGTGTAATAAACTTAGTAGCTGCACGGCTAACCACTTTACATCTGTGTAATAAACTTAGTAGCGCAGCTAACCACTTCAGACCTGTGTAATAGTAAGAAAGTAATATTTATTTATATTGACAAATGCGCAGACGTCACTGAAAGCACTTTGAAATCTTTAGACTTAAGATTTTAAAAACTCTGAACATTGTTCAGTTTATAGTATCTGAATATTATTATTATTATCAACAATACACTACGGTCCATTGCTACTGTATATACTTAGTAGCACGGCTAACCACTTTACATCTGTGTAATAAACTTAGTAGCACGGCTAACCACTTAGAAGCACGGCAAAGCACATCAGGCCATGACAACTGTGAAGCCTGAATAGGTGTTCCATTCATAACCGCTGGGGGGAGACACTGGGGGAGACACTGGGGGAGCCGTTTGGGGTGAGTCATTCTCACTCCTCCGCACAAACCGAAGGGGAGGGGCCGCCGTGAGGACCGGAGCGGAACAGCTCCAATCATCTTCTTTTGGTTGCACTTTTCTTATACTTTTCCATTCTCCACTTTTTCTCTTGTCTGTTGAATATGCGGCCATGAAAGAGTATTAACGCCTAGACGCTAAGCAGTGCAGGCGCTTGTCAGTGCTGTGATGGGAGACTGCTGCTTATTTTTGCATATTATGACTTTAAAGTTGAGGTTTCTAACTTTAATTTAAGATAATAACATGTGTAGTTTATGCCGACATAAAGAGACTCGTAAAAGTAAAAAGTTGAACGAATCACAACATGCTGTTGCTCATCTCACTAGTGAACTTTTTTTTTTAGTGAGCGAATGAGCCCTGTGAGTCACTATTTGACTTTGAGAGAGGGTGAGGGTGACAGAGACAAAAGGCAGTTGATAAAGTGTTAAATCTTATGGTTTTCTCACCGACAGGAAGTCTCCCCAGAGCAGCTCTCAGCCTCTTCTCCGCCACGTTCACCATCACATCAAAATCCATTCAGAAAACTTTAGGTCCAGAATGTAGTCCTACTTTAGTCCTGCTTTAGACCTGCTTTAGTCCTGCTTTAGTCCTGCTTTAGACCTGCTTTAGTCCTGCTTTAGTCCTTAGACCTTCTTTAGTGCCTCTTTAGTCCCAGTTCAGGACTTGAGAGCAGGGGTATTCAGACCCACACCTCCACGATGACAGCAGATTAGATACAGGACTCTGTGTTCAGACTGACTGGAGACTTTTAATCAGAAGCGTTTGATGTGACTCCATTTAAAGAGGTACCTAACTTTTATTGTTTATAGTTTATCCAACAGACCACAACATGCTGTCTCTAACTTATGTGAAAACATGTTACACACACACACACACACACGCGCACACGCACCCACACACACGCACGCACACATACACACACATACACAAGCACACGTACACACACATGCACATACACAAGCACACATACAATAACACAAGTACATAATTCACATGTGAAGCTATAATAAAACAATGAAGAAATGTGTTTGTGCATTGATAATTTTTCTTTTGGAGGAAGTGTCAAGAGAGAAAAACACTTCATTCATTCAGTTTGATGTTAAAGCTGAGGCACGGAACTTTAAAGGTGGGGTACGTAACTTTCAAACCACAACAGTAGAACTCTGTATTCTTATCCATGTCACTGGTCTCTGGTTCTAAAACAGTTGCTTTTATCACTAGTTTCACATCTTGAGATCAGCTTCTTCAGACCAAAGTTAAAAAGATCAGAGGAATCACTCAGCCAATTAGCTCTCAGCCCAAAGAGTCAAATGGCTCGATCTTACACAACAGAAAACATGTTTTCTGAAGAGATTAACACAACATGTTGTGGTCTGAACATTTTACTTTTACAAGACACATCACGAGGCCTGTTTTCATTTTAACTCTGGTTCAGACATGGTCCTGGTACAATCCTAGTTCGACTCGACCTGGTTCAAGACCACCTGTTCACCCAAAGCCAAGTCTCTGCAGTGGACCCACGCAGCAGACGCGTCAGAACTCACCAATGGGCTCCTTGTTGTTCTTGTTTCCGCAGAGACACCGCAGCATGTGCGTTCCTTTTCTACACACGCGTCTCCAGATCAACCGCATGGATTTGGCCCGTGACGCTGCGGCGGACGCGGCGGACGCGGAACAGGAGGCAGGGCGATGCCGCATGAAGCCTGGTCTGCGCGCCGTTCACATGTCAGCAAATGCCCCGCACGGCAATCCAGCACACAGATCTGCACCATAGACTAGACCTCCAGCCGCTCTTGCCGCTTCTTTGCGCTCCCCGCGGTGTCGCGCTCCTCGTGTCTCTGCCGCGCGATGGGAAACCTCGCGCGCTTTTCCTCTTCAAATGGCGTCGTGTGCCGCGCGGCAGAGCGCGGCAGACATGCGGCACTAGTGCGTGGTTCTGGTCCCAGAACACAAACTGTACACAGGTCTGCGCTTCAGCAGAGCACCGCAGTATCCGCTGCTCGCCGTCTTGGCCGCTCTCACTGCAGGGATTCTCTCTCTGCGCTTCACAAACTTGATGAATATTTGATCCACGCGCGCGCTGCGTCAGACTCGCGCGGAACCACTGCTGACGCGAGGGACGTCACCCTACCCACACACAAGTGCTGATTCGGGAACCCCGAGTCTGCACGTGCCACTCTGTTTGACGTCACAGAACAGCACACCCTCAAAAGTTAACGATCTTTATCGAAATATCCATCCATCCATCCATTTTCTTCCGCTTTATCCGTTGCCGGGTCGCGGGGGCAGCAGTCTAAGCAGAGACGCCCAGACTTCCCTATCCACACACACTTCCTCCAGCTCGTCCGGGGGGACCCCAAGGCGTTCCCAGGCCAGCTCCTCCAGCGTGTCCTAGGTCTTCCGCGGGGCCTCCTCCCGGTGGGACGTGCCCGGAACACCTCCCCAGGGAGGCGTCCAGGAGGCATCCGGAACAGATGCCCGAGCCACCTCAACTGGTTCCTCTCGACGTGGAGAAGCAGCGGCTCTACTCCGAGCTCCTCCCGTGTGACTGAGCTCCTCACCCTGTCTCTAAGGGAGCGCCCAGCCACTCTGCGGAGGAAGCACATTTCGACCGCTTGTATCCGCGATCTCGTTCTTTCGGTCATTACCCAAAGCTCATGACCATAGGTGAGGGAGGGAACGAAGATTGACCGGTAAATCGAGAGCTTTGCCTTTCTGTTCAGCTCCCTCTTCACCACAACGGTCCGATACAGCGACCGCACCACTGCGCACGCTGCACCGATCCGCCTGTCAATCTCACGCTCCATTCTTCCCTCACTCGTGAACAAGACCCCGAGATACTTAAACTCCTCCACTTGAGGAAGGACCTCAAAATATAGTTTTGTAAATGTTTAGTTCTGCTTCAGATCTGGTTCAGACCTGCTTTAGGCCTGGTTCAGTCTTTTTATATGAGTCTGCTGTGACTGAGCTGATTGGATGTATGTTTATATTATCAAAACAACTAAGCACTAAGCAACACTGCATATTTAGTCTGTATCACAGCTTTTCAAAGAGAGAGCGTTGAATGATGTCAGGGCTCTGCCTGTTGTATTTGCTGTAGTCCCGCTCTCCGCCCGCAGAGGGCACTGTCGAGGCCACCGTCATATCTGGGTCATGTTGTGATCGCGGCAGCGCGACTTATTACGGTAAATTCTGCTATTTTTCCGCCTTAATCCCGGTTCAAACTGTTTCTAAACACATTTAACCCATCTTCCGCATTTCTTTGCACATGTTCTCACAGTTTTCGCGATCATGGAGCCGTGTTGTCGGTAAATAAAGACTGCACTGCGTTCCTAACCATTAGCATAACATTAGCAGCTGCTGCTAGCTTCATAACTATTGTGGGTTGAGCTTTCTTTTCCGCCTTTTTAGCTGTTTATTGCTTTTACTCATACTTTATATATTGATTAAGGCTGCTGCATGTCTGTGAATGTGGCTGTTTTCACAAATGATCTGGGAATGGCTTTGCTTGATGGTTGTTTTCATGTAATGCAGTGTGGCTACTGCATGTAAACAACAGAATATTATGGAGCTCTCTCCAAGATAAACAGATGAAGATGTTAAAAAATATCTCTGAAATATAAACACTTTGCTCTTCCACTGAACTCCTTTATAACAAGCATGTTTCAACAATAGGTCTGTTGCTATGTATTTAGTTATAAAGTGCCCGAGGTCTGAAAATATATTTCAGTAGCAACTAAACTGCAATGTCTGAATTAAATCATAGCATGGATTTTGTTTTTGGCAAACTATTGCACCCACATATAATGTATACATTTTGTACTATTATTTGCAATAGTTTTTCTGAAATTGGGCTTTATGTTTGTAAAAACCCTATTTACACCTACCCCTGAACACTCTACTCTCCCCTGAATGGGAGTGTTTCCACTGGTCCTGTTTAACTGATAACAGGTCCTTCTTTAGTCCCTTTTGGTCCTGGTTCAAACCAGGCCAAGCAGGTACTTAAGTGTTCTAAGTGACAGTGATTGCCTGGAAGCTATAGTTACCTACCCTACCCTAGAATAGAGATGGGGTAGGGTAGGGCTGGTTAAAACGAGGCTTAAGAATGATGCACAACATTTTTAAAAAAATTGTGTTGTATATACCCTTTAACAATTTCCAAGTACAAATTATTTTGTCTTTATTGTCTTGAGTTTGACATTTAAAGTTCCCAATATGATAAGATAGACTTGATTGATCTCACACTGAAGATGGTTCAGTCGCTGTGGGCTCAGGCCACAATCGCATCCTTAGTCTTGCGTCCAGTTCCTAATTTAATGATCAGTCTGATCTTCTCCTTCTGTTCTTCGTCAGTGTTGAAGATGCCCCCTCTTCTCCCTCTCGCTCCCCCCCTCACTACTCTCCTCGCTCGTCCCTGAGTCCTGGCTCTTGCCCTGGAGCCTGCGGAGCCTCCAGTCCTCCAGCAGATCCCGGACCAGACCTGGGACCTGAACCTGACCCTGGACCAGACCACAGACCAGACCCCGGTTCAGGCCTCGGGGCTGAACCCAGACCTGGGGGTGTGATGGACCTCAGCCGCTGGCCTCTCTTCTCCCTCCTAAAGCCCCAAGAGCTGTCAGCCGTGCGTCAGGCCTGTGTGTTCGGAACCATGGCCAACGAAGCCATTTATGTCACTCACAGCCAGGAGGTACAAAGCACTTCCCCCACAGCTACAAGGTTCACCAGGATTTTAACCCATTTCGGCCTGACACACTTGGTAAAACACACCTGTAACGCAGAGTGGCCAAGTTTAGAAGTTTTCCTGAAATTCAACGTCTTCTAAATTATTGATATCTCGGCCTCTGTAGCAGAAAGAAACCTAATTCCAAAATAATTTCAGAACTGACACCTGTGGCTTTCAATATTATTCTAAACTTTCTGTAGAATAATACAAAAAATATACAACTTCCACACAGGGAAGATAATAAAACAACCAAAAATAAATCGAGACTAACCAATATTTCTCAATACAATAAGTTAATAAGAGTTTGGCAATAAAGTAGCACTAAATAAATAATGACTCACAGGACTCTTTTTTTTGAGTAAGTAAAGCTTAAATTCAGTGAGTTTTGGTTGCGCTTTGGTAGGAGACACGGGGGAGACATGGGGATGATTCTGGTCGGTGCTCGGGACCACGTTACGGCTCTGCGTTTGCTGAGCTGTTGTCAAAGCGGCTGTCGTTACAAAGCGGAAATTACATTTTAAGCGGGAAAAAGTTGGAATTTGCGGATCCGATGCATTTCATTGATCAAAAAAGATAAACCCACGTGTCCGTTTTCCCGACCTCAAAGGTAGAATTACGCAGCAGCGCTCCCGGCTCGAGAGGTAAAAATGCAGAAATGCGTTCCCGGCCTCAATGGGTTAAAGGAGACGCGCTTTGCTAAATGGACAGTTCTCTCTGTTCCCCAGATTTGTGGAGTGAGAGTCTGATAGAGTTTTCTCGGTCTGTTCCAGGTCTTTGCTCTGGGGCTGAACTGCTCTGGCTGTCTGGGCACCGGGGACTCGCTCAGCTCCATTGTCCCAAAGAAGGTGGAGTGCCTGTGGGGGAAGGGTGTGGTCAGTGTGGGCTACGGCAGTGGACCACACGTGCTGCTGGTGACAGACGGTGAACACCACCTGCCAATGCACTTCATATCAGTTCTGTCTCATATGTTTGACAATTCTGTGGTCCATCGTTTATTTTGGGGTCATGTTCTAGAAAAGTAAGACATTTCCATAGTAACCCGAATAATGTACAGCCTCCATATTATCTCTTTGGAACGTGCTGCTGTCGCCACTTTTTGCCTGGTTGTAAGTCATCGTTGCTGATGTGTTCTTCCCAGACGGACATCTGTACTCCTGGGGACACAACGGCTACTGCCAGCTGGGGAACGGGACCACGACGCAGGGCCTCAGTCCAGCGCTGGTCACCGGGAATCTGTCCAACAAACACGTGGTGCAGGTCAGCTGTGGGTCGCACCATTCCCTGGCACTCACGCACGATGGCGAGGTAACAGCTCAGATATCCAATCAAGCAGGATGAGAAGAAGACTTAGACCTCAAACACTTTATGCAGGTGTTTGCTTGGGGATATAATAACTGTGGTCAGATCGGATCCGGATCCACAGCGAACCAGCCGCATCCACGGAGAGTCACGGGCTGTGTGCAGGGACGCACCGCAGTGACCATCAGCTGTGGACAGACCAGCTCCATGTGCGTCTGTGACAACGGAGAGGTACCACTACTGCTACTGGTGCTGGTTCTGGTGCTGCTACTGGTGCTGGTACTGGTACTACTATTACTATCAGTACAGCAATTGGTACAACTGCTGCTGCAACTTCTGTTACTCCCTCTACTACTACTACTTTTGTTTCTACCACTGCTGCGTGTTGCCCTGGGACAAAGTATAAACACAATCTAATCCAGGGCTCTCCAACCTGTAGCTCGCCACCCCCTTCCAGGTATCTCGCCCAAAGGATTTAGAAATTAAAAAATCAAATAATATACGTACTTAATATTTCAGATTGTATTATTCATTTTAGGGCTGGGCAATAAATCAAATTTAGGCAATTAATCGGCTTTTGAAAAAATCGTATTTGTAAATTTTAAAATTGTGAAATCGAATGAAGGATATTTTGAGAGTTCCAGCAGCACATGAAGTATACTTCCAATATCAGCACAGTCTGTACAAGGCTTTTATAATACGTATTGGGGGAAACAAATTTAAATTATGAAACTTGAATATTGAGCGGAAAGATCAAAAAATGTGACGGGCAAAGTCCGTCTTCGGTGACTTGAATGAAAATCGATTTTAAAATCGAAATCGTACAAAGCAGGACATAAAATCGAGATTTTGCTGTTTTGCCATATCGCCCAGCCCTAATTCATTTTCAATATTTATTCATAAAAATGCAAACTTAGCTTGTGCACTAGTAACAAATAATCAATGATAAATAATGACTGTACCCAATATCAGGCTCGTTCACGTTAATATGTCACACATTTTTTCCCAGGGCTGCTTAACTCATTCACTGCCCATGACGACAAAAGTCGTTCTATTGTATAGTGACGCTCACTGCCCAAGACGACTTAGACGACTTTTTCGTGTTATTACACGGGAGGCTGCAGTAATGTCTGGCGCACCTTGTTAATGACCCACAACACTGATATATAGTGCAAATGTACCTGTAATGATAAATCACCACCAGTAGGATGCAGTATTGCACCACAGGAGAGGTCATAAGTCAGTGGAGAGGAGGAGGAGTGTGGGGTCTTTGGAGAGCGTGCTGTGCTGCTGTAGCAGAGCGATGATAGCGTACTGTAGCATTGAGACGGATCAGATCTAGTTTAGCGATAGTATAGCAAGAGTGATGGCAAAAAAGAATAGTTATAAGCAGTATACACTGCTTCAGAGATTGACTCGCGGATCAGTGAGTGAGGTCGAGAGGGGAGAGAGGGGAGACCCGGTGGAGGTCCGTCTCTGCAGCTACATTTGCGCGGAGCAAGAGCCCCGAGCAGAGACACACCCTCCGCCTCTCTCAGCGTATCAGCTGCTGCTGTTACTGATGCCTCGGATTCGTTCAGCAAACCTGATCATGATTTATCGGACACACTCACAAACACTCACACGCACTCACTCACTCACTCACGCACACAGACACTCACTCGCACAGACACTCACTCGCACACTGACACTCACTCACACACTGACACTCACGCACACAGACACTCACTCGCACACAGACACTCACTCGCACAGACACTCACTCGCACACTGACACTCACTCGCACAGACACTCACTCACACACTGACACTCACGCACACAGACACTCACTCGACACAGACACTCACTCGCACAGACACTCACTCACACAGACACTCACTCGCACACTGACATTCACACACACACACACAAATTCACATGCTTCATTCTATTTTATACATCTATAGTTTTATTGATCTTTGTGTTGTTGTTGTTTGACGTTTTGGTTGATGGTATAGAAGAAAGTTAAATTTTCTATCTGTGAATAAATTGCCAACAATTTGCCATCAAAAGTATTATTTCAGAGTCATGTTTTTATAATTTTTGTAATGGAACAAGTGTGAAGATGTTTTGAGTTGTCACTAAAGCAGCAAAAATGCATCTAAAGTCTCTTTTCTGCTTGATATGTTCCTGTTTACATACAGCTCGTTTTCTCTGTTTTCTTGCTCAGACCAGGTGTTATGGGTGAAAGTATGCTTTGTTCTATGGCAAATAACGCAAGAACGGTAAGAGGTAGAAACAAACTGTTTTTTTCAGAGTAAAGCAGAGAGGTTAATCTTTAATTTGGTGCCCTTGGTGTTTACATCGTCTAAAAAATGAATATTCTGTGGCACTTCAAAGTTGGGTCAAATCACCTGAAATTGCTGGCAGAATGCACTTCTCAAATCTGAAAATGCCTGGCAGTCAGTGAGTTAAAGGAGTAGCTCTCTGCCTCTATCGTCCCGGTGTAACGCCGAGATACACTGTCTTGAAGAGATGCACTGCCTCAGCTGTTTATGATGTAATGCAAACCTGCGCATGCGCGTCTCACGGCAACCGAAGCATACCAAGATGGCGGACCGTGAATTGCTAAAAGTTGAAATACGAACGAATTAAGACACGAATGTCACTTTTAATGCAATTTGAGGCGAGATGTTGATGGTCCCGTTTTGTCACATGTGGGTTTTAAGAGTCAAAGTTTTGTGCAAAGTTTAGTTTAAGCAGTCAACTGCGCCTGTGAAACCACAAAGCTAATGTTTTCATAGCAGTCCGCGGCTGCTGACGTAGGCTGATGACGCGTCCTGTGGCCACTCTACACTGGTCTGTCGGGTTGATAATGGAAAATGGGGAACAAAATCAATCTAATTAAATATTTTGTTTGAACACACTATTGTTAATCATATTAAATACAGTACGATACATGTATTGAATGCAATTTATTATTTCCATTATCAACCCGACAGACCAGTGTAAGTGGCCACAGGACGCGTCATCAGCCTACATCATCAACATCTCGCCTCAAATTGCATTAAAAGTGACATTCGTGTCTTAATTCGTTCGTATTTCAACTTTTAGCAATTCACGGTCCGCCATCTTGGTATGCTTCGGTTACCGTGAGACGCGCATGCGCAGGTTTGCATTACATCATAAACAGCTGAGGCAGTGCATCTCTTCAAGACAGTGTATCTCGGCGTTACACTGGCAAAGTAGCTCTCTGGGTCAAGTCTGAGTAAGATATGGCAAAAGTCTAATCAAATTTATAAGCAATAAATCACTAAAATGGCAAGATATAAATTTAACAGAAAAATCAATACAAGGAGTGAAATTGGAAATGGATTAGAAGAGCTGCTGCTGATGCGACCCCTAACACACTACTTGTTTTGGCTGTCTGATGTGGACTGTACGATGGTGAAGCGTGGGACCGCCCTAACCCTCTCACTCGCAGGTCTTCGGTTGGGGCTACAATGGGAATGGGCAGCTGGGCATCGGGAACAACGGGAACCAGCTGAGTCCGTGTCGAGTGTCGGCTCTTCAAGGCGTCTGTGTGAACCAGGTGGGACTCTAACTTCACATGTGCTGGGGGACCGACTGGCCTAAAACATACAGACACTTTCAAACTGTAATGGACTATAATAAAACCGATGTCTCTGGTCCTTGGCTCCAAAACCGTCGCTTCTATCGCTAGTTTTATGTTTTCCTGGCCTTTGTCACGTCTTTAAATCAGCTTTGTCAGACAATCAGCTCCGGCCAAGATCTAATAGACACTTTTTTATGAAGCTGAAGTTGCGTACTCCAGCTTTAAAGGTGTGTGGTTGCAGCTGGTGTGTGGCTACGGTCACGTCTTGGCTCTGTCGGATGAAGGCGTGTGTTACTCCTGGGGCTCCAACACCTACGGACAGCTGGGCACCGGCAACAAGAGCAACCAACTCAGTCCTGTCAGAGTCATGGCGGAGAAACAACGGTGAGAACAGAGAGAGAGAGGCCAGAGAGAGAGAGAGACCAGAGAGAGAGACCAGAGAGAGAGAGAGAGACCAGAGAAAGATAGCAGAGAGAGAGAGAGATCAGAGAGGGAGACTGAGCAGAGAGACCAGAGAGAGAGACCAGAGAGAGAGACCAGAGAAGAGACAGAGAGAGACCAGATGGAGAGAGACCAGAGAGAGAGACCAGAGAGAGAGACCAGATGGAGAGAGACCAGATGGAGGGAGACTGAGCAGAGAGACCAGAGAGAGAGAGACCAGAGAGAGAGAGACCAGAGAGAGACCAGATGGAGAGACCAGAGAGAGAGAGACCAGAGAGAGAGACCAGAGAGAGAGACCAGAGAGAGAGACCAGATGGAGAGAGACCAGATGGAGAGAGACCAGATGGAGAGAGACCAGATGGAGAGAGACCAGATGGAGAGAGACCAGATGGAGAGCGACCAGAGAGAGCAACCAGAGAGAGAGCAACCAGAGAGAGAGCGACCAGAGAGAGAGAGACCAGAGAGAGAGAGACCAGAGAGAGAGAGACCAGAGAGAGAGAGACCAGATGGAGAGAGACCAGAGAGAGAGACCAGAGAGAGAGACCAGATGGAGGGAGACTGAGCAGAGAGAGAGAGACCAGAGAGAGCGAGACCAGATGGAGAGAACAGAGAGAGAGACCAGAGAGAGAGAGACCAGAGAGAGAGACCAGAGAGAGAGACCAGAGAGAGAGACCAGATGGAGAGAGACCAGATGGAGAGAGACCAGATGGAGAGAGACCAGATGGAGAGCGACCAGAGAGAGCAACCAGAGAGAGAGCAACCAGAGAGAGAGCGACCAGAGAGAGAGCGACCAGAGAGAGAGAGACCAGAGAGAGAGACAAGAGAGACTTGGTTTCTCTTCAACATGACATGTTCACAGAAAAAGTGACTAAAATAAAACAAAATGATCCCTGATGTTGTATTTTTCCTTAACCTTGAAGAGTCCGTCTTCCGCTGCTGTGCTCCTGCATCTGTCTCCTGTTTTTAGACTCTGCTTCCTTTTTCCTGTTTCCTGTTCTGAATGAATGTTTGTCCTTTCAGAGTGGTGGAGATTGCCGCCTGCCACTCCACACACACGTCAGCCGCCAAGACTCAGAGCGGACAGGTCTGTGCACTACATTTATCAGGAATAAGCAACACTGTAAAAAGTTATTAAATATCACGTCATAAAATGTGAAATCTTGAGATTTCAGTTGGTTCTGACTGTCTTAAAACAAGACATGCCAATGGGACAAACCCATTTAGTCTTACTTCAAGAACTGTTTTAATTTTGACCTTAAGTGCTGTTGCATTACTATTGTTGGAATCTTTTAGAATGATGTCTGTTTGTGTTTGGATGAATAGATGTGTTTCTTCTGCTGACGCCTGAATGTCTCCAGGGATCAATCTTCTCATTCCAAGGGAGACATTTCTTGTATCTTGATACTTTAGCTTGTTCCGTTGGCAAATATTGTTTTAACAGTGTGCTCAAGTTAAGATACATTCTGCCAAATTTGAGAAATGTATTATTTATTATTTTAGTTATTGGCAGTGTAACACTGGGCCCACAGCGCCCCCTTGTGGTACTCTCCAGTACACAAATATTATGTCTTTTCCTCAAGTTCTGCTGTTCTTCAGTCACCTGTTGCTGTTTTTCACTCCACCTTCTCTAATATCAAGAACTTCTGTCTAAATGCTTTATTTTCAAACGTGTGTGTGTGATGGTGTTGTGGACAAAGTTTATATTGGGAATATCTCTGGTCTTGCAGCTTCAATGACATATCTCCATAGAGAGGGAGAGGCTAGAGAGAGAGAGAGGGGGAGGGAGACAAAGTGAGATTTGGGTTTGAAGCTGCCGCTGAAAGATCGGCAGACAGAGCTGTGGACTCCTGTGGACTCACCACCTGCAGGAGGATCAGAGAGGTGAATTGGATGCAGCTCTGACTGCCACCCCTTCCGACCCAGAAATGGATTAAGGGGAAGAAAATTTATGTATGGAGACTTTACTTTATCATGTTTTAGAATGTGAAATATTATCTTCAGCAGAAAATATGTGATAAAGTATAAAGGTTGGTCTATTGGTCTGTAACTTGCAACCCCCCCAGAGGTAGGAGTAGAAATTTTATTTTGTGTTCCATTTCTTGCTGTAATCTCAGCCATGTGACTTAAGAAGAAATGACCAAAACATATGTTTGGGCAATACTTAAGTTCAAAGTCTGAGTGTGATGTGATTTGTTGCTGTTTCCCAGGTGTACATGTGGGGGCAGTGCAGAGGCCAGTCCTTGCTTCTTCCCTCTCTCACTCACTTCCTGTCCACCGACGACGTGTTTGCCGGGTTTGCGACACCGGCGGTGATGTGGCGTATGGTTTCCGTGGAGACAGACGACTTCCTGACAGTGGCGGAGGCTCTGAGGAAGGAGTTCGACAGCGAGGAGACGTCTGACCTGCGCTTCAGTGTTGAGGGCAAGTGCATCCACGTGCACAAGGCCCTGCTCAAGATCCGGTGAGTGCAAAGCTACCAACACACGGCTGTCTTCCCAAACTCACAGCACTGGCACAGATGCAGAAATGAGGCCCATGGTTTCATCCACAGCTCACCTGGGGGAATCTAGCCTTAAATTACCAAATCATTGTACTAATTTCATTTCGTACTGAAGTTTGGATTTGCTCCGGTAACCCCTCCCACCTGATAACTCCTTTTGCAGATTGAAACGATTGGATCGAGTTTACGGTGACGTGTGTAATGCGCCCAAGTGAGTGAGGCATTTAGCCTCGCATCTTTTTTGCTACTAACTGACCCTGTGGGGAGTAGTGTCAACATCTTTGCAAGCAATGAAATTTGCTTAACATTCCTCTTGCTCTGGCTTCAATTTTTTGATATTTGGGAGCTGAACTAGAACGGATGACTTTTCTATCGCATTCAGAATCAGAATATTTTTTATTGCCATGTAAGTAACAGGAAGTCAAGACTAGGAAATTGCAACAGTCAGAGAGGTAAAGAATAGAGTAAGGCATTAAGAAAAAAATCAGCATACACTTCTAAGGTATAAAAATGTTAATTATTACAATACTTTACAACAGCAGAGAAACTGTTCTTATGGCGGGAGGTTCAGGTCCGAATGGGCTGTAGCCTCCTGCCTGAGGGGAGGGGTTGGAACAGTCCATGCGCAGGGTGAGAGGGGTCAGTGATACGACCAGCCCGGCCTCAAACAGAGGCAGGGTCGTTGTTGTTGCTGTTCTTCCTGAATAGGTATTTTGTCACCTTGTAGCCGTTGCAGTCTCCCTCTATGAAAGTGGATTTTTCAATATCCTGAACTACCTGAGCTCAGCATTGAACCTGGGATTATCGTTGTTGTAGATGACCCTGGTCCTTGTTGGGATTATGCTGTCCTCGCCGAAGTGAATATGATGTTACAGTGTCCGTGAAGTCATCCAGACTTTCTGTGGCAGCTCTGAAAGAGTCCGAGAGGGACCAGAGAGACCAAGCTAGTGTGTCGAGCAGCAGGTTTTGAAACAACCAGGGCCAACGAGGGCCAACAGAGCTGTGTCTGGTGTTGTATCTGGTCCTTGACCATGTGTGTGTCTCAGGTGCGAACACTTTAGGTCCATGTTCCGCTCTCAGTGGACGGAGGACCAGCAGGAGGTCATCGAGATCGCACAGTTCTCTTTCCCCGTCTACAGATCCTTCCTGCAGTTCCTCTACACCGACACCGTGGAGCTGCCCCCTGAGGACGCCATAGGTACTGCTCCTGTCTCTCCCTCTGGTCTCTCTCCAGTCTCTCCCTCTGGTCTCTCTCCAGTCTCACCCTCTGGTCTCTCTTTGGTCTCAGGACTCCTGGACTTGGCCACGTCGTACTGTGAGACTCGTCTGAAGCGTCTCTGTCAGCAGATCATCAAGCGCGGCATCACCGTCGACAACGCCTTCACGCTGCTGTCGGCCGCCATCAAGTACGATGCAGAGGTCAGACCAGAAGCAGATCCCAGGACTCAGGACTATGACCAGGGCCGTGGATCCAAAAAAACACAAGCTCATTGTTAGTGGTTGTGTGGAGCTGGTTTTCTAGTTTCATATAATAACATCATTAAGCCGCTCTGGAGAGAAGTCAAATGTACAGAATGCAAGGCGGCCCAGTAATTTACAGGAACCATCAGAGGTTAAAGGTAAAAGAACCTCTGCCACAAAGCTGTTGCAGATGTGAAAGGGAAACACAGTGTGCTTTATGCTTTGTATAAAAGTATAACAAGAGTCAGAAGGAAAACTATTGTGTGCGCTGCCGTGATTAGTTCTAAGAACTCTCTCATTGGTCTCTGGGTTTTCTCAAGTCTCTCTTTTGTCTCTCCGGTCTCTCTATGGTCTCTCATTGGTCTCTCTGGTTTCTCTCTAGTCTCTCTCTGGTCCTAAGTCCTCATTTAAAAGCGATAGCTTCACCACTAATGCTAGTGGTAGTTTTTAATCCATTCATGGGTTCTGTGAGTTTGATTGTGTTACTGTGACTGTGTTACTGTCAGAATCATTTTTATTGCCACGTAAGTAACAGGAGGTCACAGACTTAGAAATTGCTTTGGCTCAGTGCAACAGTCAGAGAGAGAGAATAAAATAAGGAATAAATTTAAAATAAAACAGTGACTGTGAGTGTGTACCTCTTGTGCTCAGGACCTGGAGGAGTTCTGTTTCCGCTTCTGTGTGAACCACATGACTCTGGTGACACAGACTCAGGCGTTCTGGCAAAGTGACGGACGCATGCTCAAGGAGTTTATCAGCAGAGCCAGTCGCTGTGGGGCCTTCAGGAGCTGAGGAGGAGGAGCATAGAAGGAGCAGAAGAGGAGGAGGAGGAGCAGAGGAGGAGAAGTAGCAGATGAGGAGCAGATGAGGAGCAGAGAAGGAGCGGAAGAGGAGCAGCCTGAATTTCTCCCAGAAGTCTCCTGCTCTTGAACATGATCTTGTCTGCAGTATCGTCAGTTGTGTTTTTAGACTCAGCGGCAAAGGAAAGTATTTTGTGTCTAGAACTTTCTTCTTCAAAGTTGTTCAAATGGGTTTATCTGATTGTGAAGTGCGGGGAAACACAGCTTCCTGATTGGATGAAATCATCTGAAATCCTTGCTTTTGGTCCACCTGTTATCCTCCAGTGAATCTTGGTGCTGGTTGCTAAGGAGACAGCCTGTATACAATATGCTATTCTCCAGTAGTTTACATAGAACCTGACTCTTGTTAGATCCATGCAGTTCCACCATGCTCCACCAGAGGCTCCACACACGATTCTGGGATCAAGGCCAATGCAAACTCCTTCAAGGTAGCAAAAAATAATGAACCAATCAGGATCTTTGGGCGGGATTTCATAGACATGACTAGTGCCGAAGCGATTCAAACAACAACGGTTGCATGCATCGAGGAGTTGTCTGCTGACATTGCTGCGTTGTTTCAGTAGAAGATCTCTAACTTTTCACTCTGTCATTATGTCGGCTGTTCTGTTTCCCAGCGTCGCCCTCATCAGCGTCACGGGTTCATTTTTTTTTCAAGGCCCCGCCTTCTGAAATAAATCTCCTTTGAGAAATCCCAGATCCTTGTGTGGAGCTCAGAGCTACAAGGATCTGGCGAGAATCAGGTTTCAAGATCACATGGTCAAGTTACAAACATCAGCTTTAACAAAATGTATTCATCTCTTAGATGTATACAAAAACATGTGACAGGAGTGCTGAGATAGTCCGCGCCTCTACTGCTGACAAGGCTTCACACAAACAGGTATTTACTGTAGGTCTTTTTACTGCTTATTTTAAGTTTCTGATGTTTTAAATCAGTTTGAATTAAGGGTCAGAGTTGTTTTGATATTGTTTAACTGTAAACTTGCAGCCAGTCTTAAAATACTGTTGTATTCCATGAGAAGTGTCTGAGGCACTTTCGTCTGTAATGATTCCACCTGTGTTTATTCTAAGGGCTTTATTTTTCTGCTGTCACTTTATTCTTACACGTGTTTTTTATTTGGTTGAATTGTTAAATAAAAGATATGTCTCGTATTCATGGAGAAATAATGTTATACATTATGTGGATGAAGCTCAAGTTAATACGGATTATTCTCCATGTGCAAAACAAGAAAATAAAAAGATATAATACTAAGTGGTTCCACAGTTTGTCCGACAGAGATAAAAGTAGTCAGGGAACTTTTTAAAACATTTTTAAAAGGATTTTTAAAAAGGGCTTTTGGGACCAAAATTGCACACTTTGACCCCAATTTTCTCTGAATTTCCACAGTAAAAGTGAATGATATTTTACACAGTGGTAGAGGGCATCACGTGAACAAGTGCAAAAAAAATGCATTTTGCTTGCTTCTCGTCGCGGCTTCCCTTTCTACGTTTACCGTAAGTAACAGCATAATGGACCGCTTTCAAAGTGCGGACCTCTTTACCGCTGCAGACGAAATGACCGCGGTAAAGTGGCCCGCATTTTTCAGCTCTATGAACAAGCGGCCCGTAAAGCGCGCTGGGGTCTGGGAGACACGTTTTTGTGATTAAAACCGATGCCACCCGGTACACATAGCACCCAGGGGCGTCCGGTGAGGTTTGTGATTGGGGAGGCACTGACTTTAAACAGTCAGATTTACCATCATTATTCTAATAAAATAGCATTAAATCGTCAATGCAAAAACGTCCACAAACATTATATACTGTAAAGATAAGAGAACCAGCATATTATTAAAAATCCCACAACACATCTAGACGCTGGCTCTCCGCTCCGCATCAAACCAAGTCTTTGCGAAGCACAGGTGCGAGAGACGGGAGGAGGGAGGGAGGGAGAGAGAGAGAGATACGCAAGGGGCGTGAGAGAAAGAGACGCAAGGGGGAAAGAGAGAGACGCAAGTGTGGGCATAGTGAATATTAGACACCCCCCCGATATATTTTTTATTTCATATTGTTTGTTATATATATATTTTCTTTCATATCATTATTTTCAGTTAAAAGTCATAAATATGGTAAAAATGTATTAGATCGCTTTAGTGTAGTTCCTGCTCCCGACCACAAGGCGGTGTTCTGTCGAGTTGGTCTGCCCGTCGAGATGATCTGGCTCAGCTGTTAATGATGTAATGCAAACCTGCCCATGCGCGTCTCACTGGATCCGAAGCAATCCAAGATGGCGGACATGTAGTCCGCGAATTGCTTTAAAAGTTAAATACGAACGAGTTAAGACACGAATGTCACTTTTAATGCAATTTGAGGCGAGTTGTTGATGGTTCCGCGTTGTGATATGTGAGTTTCGTGTAAAGTTTGTTTTAAGCAGTCCACTGCTCCTGTGAAACTACACTGCTGCTGTGTGATCGCAGTCCCTGAGTTGACTGCTGCATACAGTACGTCAGGCCCATGACGCGTCCTGTGACTGGTCTGTCGGGTTGATAATGGAAATAATAAATTAAATTTTATGCATGTATCATACTGTATTCAATATGATTAACAATAGTGTGTGCAAACAAAATATTCAATTAGATCGAGTTTTTTCCCCATTCTAGCGGGTTTGTGCGCATGCGAAAATCAGATTTGGGCACACTAGCAGTGTAGTTTCACAGGAGCAATGGACTGCTTAAAACAAACCTTACACGAAACTCTTACTCTTAAAACACACATATCACAACGCGGAACCATCAACATCTCGCCTCAAGTTGCATTAAAAGTGACATTCGTGTCTTAATTCGTTCATATTTAACTTTTAAAGTAATTCGCGGACTACCGCCATCTTGGTTTGCTTTGGCTGCCGTGAGACGCGCAGCGCTGGTATACATCATTAACAGCTGAGCCAGATCATCTCGACGGGCAGACCAACTCGACAGAACACCGGCGTCACATGAAGCGCGTCAAAAGCTTCAAAAGACCACAGTAAAAGTGAATGATATTTTACACAGTGGTAGAGGGCATCACGTGAACAAGTGCAAAAAAAATGCATTTTGCTTGCTTCTCGTCGCGGCTTCCCTTTCCACGTTTACCGTAAGCCTCACGCGCGTCACTTGAAGCTTTTGACGCGCGTAATGCTTGCGTCTCTTTTGGCATCAAAAAATCCCTTAATGCCAAAGTTGAGAAAAGCTTTTTGAGCTTGACGCCGGGCTTCAACCAATCAGGAGATGAGGAGCAGCAGCAGCAGCAGGGCTGTCATGAAAAGAAGTCATGTAGCTGCTGCTGCTTTTTCATTGTCATTATTATTATTTGTAATATTGTTTGTATGAATAGTAACGTCCTTAATATGTAAGTAACACAATCAATGTACATATGCTGTGAAGTTAAAGTAATTTAATTTAACCCGGCAACAGATGAAGCGAAATAAAATGAATGTGGAAGTTACAGTGGATGAAAAATGGGAATTTTCGCACAATTTTGTGTATTTTTACCAAGGGGGGTAAATTTGACTTTGACTAATAATTTCTCAACATTTCCACAATTAAGTTACAGCTGACCAAAAGTGACATATTTTGACAATTTTTGAGGTATTAAGGACCAAAATGGGTAATTTGACTCAATATTTTTCCTAATTTGCACAGTAAAAGTTTCTGGTCTTTGGTACAGTGGTAGAGGGCAATCCTGAGGTCATGAATCCAGTGTAATTAGACGCACACCTTTTTACAGTATAAAGTTACAGTAGATCAAAAGTGACATGTTTTGACTATTTTTGAGGTTTTTTGGACCAAAAGGGCTACTTTAACTCTATATTTCTTCAAATTTCCACAGTAAAGGTTTCTGGTCTTTGGTACAGTGGTAGAACATAATAATGAGGACATGAATCCATTGAAATGAGTCACACACCGTAGATCAAAAACGGGAATTTTCTTACAGTTTTGTATATTTTGGACTAAAAAGTGTACTTTGTCTAAATTTTACCCAACATTTCCAAAGGTTTGTGGTTGTGTTGAAGCGTTGAAGGCAGCTATATTGGGGTCATGAACCCAGTGGAATAAGCCAAACAAGTCTTTACCGTAAAAATGGACAGCTGCTGAAAATTTTCACTTTTTGACCAAATTAAATGTCGAACATTTTAAGTTTTACATGCTTTACAAATAAGGGTTTATTCACAAAAACGAGTCTCCTCAGCGCGCTTTCTGTTCCGCTATTACCGTAAGTAGTCAACAAAATGCGCACTGTTTTTCTCTTGATGCGGGCCGTTTTACTTCGGAGGTGAAAGATTTACCCTTTACCCGCTGTATTTGCTTTGAGTGTCTTGTACCTGGAGGCCCACGCCCACACCGCGGCTGCCAAAACAACAGCAGGCGTGGAGCTTTCCAAAACCCCAGACAGGCGCGTGTTCTCCGCATGTGAGGATCCACCATGGCCCGCCCTCGCCTCTCCGTCCTCTCCGGGCTGTGGAGCCTCTCTCCCGGCTGCAGAGCTGTCACCACGGCCGCCACCGGGAAGAGGCTGAAGACCGTGGAGGATCTCCCGGGCCCCAGCTTCACCAAGACCCTGCATTGGCTCCTGTTCAAGGGCTACGCGGACAAGAGCCACTTACTGCAGGTAATGCACGTTACATTACACATTACACGTTACATTAAACGTTACACGTTACATTAAACGTTACACGTTACATTAAACGTTACACTAACTATTATTTCTATCAAATTTATGTTTTAGGCAGAGGTGTACTTAAAGCTGGGGTATCTAACATTTTTGTTGTTGTTTGTCCCAAGAGTAAAATGTTGCGAACGAATCTTTCCACAATCTGCTGTTTCCATCGCTTTTGTGAAAGGAAGATCCCTGCGAGTAACTATTTAACTCCTTGGTCTGTGTTAGTCCTGCTTTAGATCTGTTTCAGTCCTGCTTTAGTCCTGCTTTAGTTCTGCTTTAGTCCTGCTTTAGTCCTGCTTTAGTCAGCCAGGGACGAGAGACATAGATTTTTATTCCATTAATTATTACTATTCCATTGTTGAGGTTTGAAAGTTAAAAGTTACGTCTCTTGCCTTTAAAACCTGAATTTAGACAAACTTAAACAGGAGAGTTTAGAAATGTTTAGCCATAAAAGCTTTCTGTAAGGATTTTGTTAGGTAAACCTTTTTGCCTTTTTCAAAACACTAATAATTACACACTTTTACTTCATGTAGAATGACGTATGTTTGAGACGTCCACAACTCGCCCTGTGCTTTTATAACTGTTTTCTCTGGCTGCGGCTCTGAGAGCTTTGCCTTCACCTCAAACAGAGCGGCTTTGTCTCGGGTCTGTGGTCCTCCTCGTGTGAGTCCCTGGAAATGTTGTGTTCACCCCTCCTCCTCGGGGTCGGACCAGGACAAGTGCCGAGGCTCAGAGTGGAATGTTCTGGTGTTTACATAGTCCTCATTCCCGGTGGCTGTTGAACACTCGTATACACGCAAATTACACAGGGTCTGGTCTGACTGTCCCTATGTCCTCTACCCATCTACCCATCTACCCATCTACCCATCTACCCATCTATCCATCTACCCATCTATCCATCTATCCACCTACCCATCTACCCATCTACCCATCTACCCATCTACCCATCTATCCATCTATCCATCTATCCATCTATCCATCTATCCATCTACCCATCTATCCACCTACCCATCTACCCATCTACCCATCTACCCATCTATCCATCTATCCATCTACCCATCTACCCATCTATCCATCTATCCATCTATCCATCTATCCACCTACCCATCTACCCATCTACCCATCTATCCATCTATCCACCTATCCATCTACCCATCTACCCATCTACCCATCTACCCATCTACCCATCTACCCATCTACCCATCTACCCATCTATCCATCTATCCATCTACCCATCTACCCATCTACCCATCTACCCATCTACCCATCTACCCATCTACCCATCTACCCATCTATCCATCTATCCATCTATCCATCTATCCATCTATCCATCTACCCATCTATCCATCTATCCATCTATCCACCTACCCACCTACCCACCTACCCACCTATCCACCTACCCACCTATCCACCTATCCATCTATCCATCTACCCATCTACCCATCTACCCATCTATCCACCTACCCATCTACCCATCTACCCATCTATCCACCTATCCACCTATCCACCTACCCACCTACCCATCTACCCATCTACCCATCTACCCATCTATCCACCTATCCACCTATCCACCTACCCACCTACCCACCTACCCATCTATCCATCTATCCATCTATCCATCTATCCATCTATCCATCTACCCATCTACCCATCTACCCATCTACCCATCTACCCATCTACCCATCTACCCATCTACCCATCTACCCATCTTCCCATCTTCCCATCTACCCATCTACCCATCTACCCATCTACCCATCTACCCATCTACCCATCTACCCATCTATCCATCTATCCATCTATCCATCTACCCATCTACCCATCTATCCATCTACCCATCTACCCATCTACCCATCTATCCACCTATCCACCTACCCACCTACCCACCTATCCATCTATCCATCTATCCATCTATCCATCTATCCATCTATCCATCTATCCATCTATCCACCTACCCATCTACCCATCTACCCATCTATCCATCTTCCCATCTATCCATCTATCCATCTATCCATCTATCCATCTATCCACCTATCCACCTACCCATCTACCCATCTACCCATCTACCCATCTATCCATCTACCCATCTACCCATCTACCCATCTACCCATCTATCCATCTACCCATCTACCCATCTATCCATCTATCCATCTATCCATCTATCCACCTACCCATCTATCCATCTATCCATCTATCCACCTACCCATCTACCCATCTACCCATCTACCCATCTATCCACCTACCCATCTACCCATCTATCCATCTATCCATCTACCCATCTACCCATCTACCCATCTATCCACCTACCCATCTACCCATCTACCCATCTACCCATCTATCCATCTATCCATCTATCCATCTATCCATCTATCCATCTACCCATCTACCCATCTACCCACCTACCCACCTACCCACCTACCCACCTACCCACCTATCCATCTATCCATCTATCCATCTATCCATCTATCCATCTATCCATCTATCCATCTATCCATCTATCCATCTATCCATCTACCCATCTACCCATCTACCCATCTACCCATCTACCCATCTACCCATCTGTCCTGTCTTTCTGTCCCTTTATCCTCTGTCATTTGTCCGTCTGTCCCTCTGGTCTCAGGACGTGCAGAAGCAGCTGTACGGTCCCCTGTGGCGCTCGCGCTTCGGTCACTACGACCTTGTGAACGTAGCGTCGGCTGAGCTCATCTCCCAGGTCAGAGGTCAGAGATCAGAGTCAGTTTGAACCGGTTTAAACCAAAAAAAGTTCTGAAAGCTGTGATGTGTGTGTCAGGTGATCCGACAGGAAGGGAGGTATCCAGTCCGAGCTCCGCTACCGCATTGGAAAGAGTACAGAGACCTGAGGAACCAGGCCTACGGACTACATGTGGAGTAAGGACTGGAACAGGACTGAGGCTGTAGACCCAGGACTGAGGTTGTAGACCCAGGACTGAGGCTGTAGACCCAGGACTGAGGGTGTAGACCCAGGACTGAGGCTGTAGACCCAGGACTGAGGCTGTAGACCCAGGACTGAGGCTGTAGACCCAGGACTGAGGCTGTAGACCCAGGACTGAGGCTGTAGATCCAGGACTGAGGCTATAGACCCCGGACTGAGGCTATAGACCCAGGACTGAGGCTGTAGACCCAGGACTGAGGCTGTAGACCCAGGACTGAGGCTGTAGACCCAGGACTGAGGCTATAGACCCCGGACTGAGGCTATAGACCCAGGACTGAGGCTATAGACCCAGGACTGAGGCTATAGACCCAGGACTGAGGCTATAGACCCAGGACTGAGGCTATAGACCCAGGACTGAGGCTATAGACCCAGGACTGAGGCTATAGACCCAGGACTGAGGCTATAGACCCAGGACTGAGGCTATAGACCCAGGACTGAGGCTGTAGACCCAGGACTGAGGCTGTAGATCCAGGACTGAGGCTGTAGATCCAGGACTGAGGCTGTAGATCCAGGACTGAGGCTGTAGATCCAGGACTGAGGCTGTAGATCCAGGACTGAGGCTGTAGATTCAGGACTGAGGTTGCAAATCCCAGACTGAGGCTGTACACCCTCACAGTTCCCTCCTCTGGTCCAGGACTGGTTCAAACTGGCACCGCCTGCGCAGTGCTCTGAACCCAAAGATGCTGAAGCTGCAGGAGGTGCGGCCGTACGCTGCTGTGATCCAGGAGGTGGTGGACGACCTCCTGCAGAGAGTGGAGGAGCTGAGGAGGAGGAGCCCAGACTGCACTGTGCCCGACATGGCAGGAGAGCTCTACAAGTTTGGCTTCGAAGGTAGGATCAAAGCAGAACTAAAGCAGATCTAAGGCAGGTCTAAAGCAGGACCAAAGTAGGTCTATAGCAGGTCTAAAGCAGGACTAAAGCAGGACTAAAGCGCGACTAAAGCGGGTCTAAAGCGGGTCTAAAGCAGGTCTAAAGTGGGTCTAAAGTGGGTCTAAAGCTGGACTAAAGCGGGACTAAAGCAGCCCTCTCGTACAGGCATCTCCTCGATCCTCTTCGAGACCCGGTTGGGTTGTCTTCAGGAGGAAGTCCCCACAGAGACTCTGAAGTTCATCTCAGCAGTGAACGACATGCTCCTCCTCTCCAACACGGTGGCGCTGTTTCCTCGCTGGACTCGCCGCTTCCTGCCGCACTGGGACCGCTTCGTGAAAGCCTGGGACGACATCTCCACTGTGGGTGAGGAGGTCTTCTGTGGATTTTGGATTCTGTGGGTCTAAGACTATCGATACAAAACAGCATTGTCTCACCCTGGTCTCTCTCTGATGTCTCTCTCTGGTCTCTCTCTCTCTCTGGTCTCTCTCTGGTCTCTTTCTTTGGTCTCTCTCTCTGGTCTGTGTTTCAGCTCGTGGTCTGATCGAGCGGCGGATATCGCAGCTGGACTCTCGCTCTCTCTCAGACGGACTCTATCTGACCTACCTCCTCTGCAACAACACTCTGAGCCGAGAGGAGGTCTTCACCAGCGTTACAGAGCTGCTGCTGGGAGGAGTGGACACGGTGAGACCAGGACTAAGGCAGGACTAAGGCAGGACTAAAGCAGGCCTCAATCAGGCCTCAAGCAGGTCTCAGGCAAGACTAAAGCAGGTCTAAAGCAGGTCTAAAGCAGGTCTATAACAGGTCTAAAGCAGGTCTAAAGCAGGTCTAAAGCAGGTCTAAAGCAGGTCTAAAGCAGGTCTAAAGCAGGTCTAAAGCAGGTCTAAAGCAGGCCTCAATCAGGTCTAAAGCAGGACTATAGCAGGTCTAAAGCAGGTCTAAAGCAGGTCTAAAGCAGGCCTCTAAAGCAGGCCTCAATCAGGCCTCAATCAGGTCTAAAGCAGGACTAATACTGGTAATACTGGAACAGAGTCCTGGTTGGAGGAGTCTGGTCGGGTTGGGTCTGGTCGGGTTTCCGCTCGAGTTCATATTGAGTCTGCTCCTCCGGTTTGGCTGCATTCCTGTTTTGCCAGAACTTGTCTCACATCTGCCTCTGTGCTGTGTGTCTAAACTAGGGCAGTTTAGGGCAGTAAATCTGGATCAAATATGGATCAAATCTGGATTATGTGAGAGATCTTCTTTTCTGAATGCCTTATATCTATCGAAATCTGGTATAGCTTGTTTGTACTTTGAGCCAAAGCACATGATTTGTAACGTCCTGTACCGGCAATAAAAATAATGTTTATTCTGATGGATCGAGGAGAAAGACCAGCTGCGTCTCACTAATGACACTTCATGAAATATATCTGCAGCAACTTCCTATTGGTGAGAAGGACAGGTTACAATAGCTCTGCTATCTCAACGCTGCTTTCAGAAGTGACGACATTAGTCTCTGGTCTCTCTCTGGTCTCTCTCTGGTCTCTCTCTCTGGTCTCTCTCTCTGGTCTCTCTCTCTGGTCTCTCTCTCTGGTCTCTCTCTCTCTGCTCTCCAGTCTCCAGTTCCTGTCTCTAATACAGTTGCTTCTGTCACTCATTTCATGTGTTTCTGGTCTAAGTCACATCTTCAGATTAGTTTTTTCAGACAGAAACGTGACAAAGAGAAACCTCCCTCACTCAGCCGATCAGCTCTCATCCCAAAGAGTCAAATCGTGACTCCCGGGGCTCTTTCTTGCAGGCCGTCACATGTTTTCTTCTCCTCAGACCTCCAACACTCTGTCCTGGGCCCTGTACCACCTCGCTCGGGACCCCAGAGCGCAGCAGCGTCTGTGGGAGGAGGTGAGGAGCGTGTGTGCAGAGGAGAGGCCCTCGCTCCAGGACCTGACCCAGATGCCCTACCTGAAGGCCGTGATTAAAGAGACTCTGAGGTACCAGCCCCACAACGCCCCCTGCAGCTCAGACACACTCACTACACTGTAAACTCATAGTGTTCTGAAACTCTGTAAAAGAGACGAGCCCCCACCTCCACATCATTCTGAGCTAGGTGTTGGTTATAAATTTGTTGTAGACAAAACTTTTGACAATTCAGATATTATGGTCCCAGCTGGATTCATCGGCATATCTGGCAACCTGAGTCAGGGAGAGTGGGAGAGGTTGCAGTACCACTTTTGGCCAGAATAATTCATACTGCTCCTTTTAAGTGTGAATAATTAAAAGTAATGTGTGACTATAGTGAGTGTATTTGAGTGTTCCGACAGAGTGTGACATCACAATAGTGTTAGCTGAATGCACAAGAACATACCTTTTTTTCCTTTTATGGACGTTTGATCCGACAGCGTTAGCTTCGTGCTGTATCGGGGCCGACGTGCTGCTAACATGTTGCTAAGGCAAGCTGGAATAAAGGCATCTGATTGGTCCATCCTCATATGAATAATATCTGGATTTACAAAGACAAACAAAAACACAAGAACCCAGCGATTAAACACCGATTTAAGTGTGACACAAATTGGATATGACTCTAGTAAAGCACTTTCACGTATTTTCAACTTGTCATTTCAATCTGGGACAGTACCACAGCAAATTAAAATTGCTAAACTTTATTTAAATCTGGTGATAAACAGATTTTTTTAATTTATCAAAATGAATTACTGATATTGAAAATGAGATGTTGAAACTTAAAATATGGTTTGATGATAATAAGCTTTCTTTAAATTTAAACAAAACTAAATTAATGCTGTTTGGAAATGTCAATCGGGTCATTTACAAGGAGTAAACATAGAGCATGTAAAGGAAACCACATTTTTAGGAGTCATTATAGATAAAAAGATCAATTGGAAAGCCCATATGCAATACATCCACAACAAAATATCTAAAAGTGTAGCAATACTCAACAAAGTCAAACGTGTTCTGGATCATCCCTCGCATGCTTCACTGTTCACTTGTTTTGCCATATTTCACAAACTCTGCGGAAATATGGGGAAACAACTTCACTTCTACAGTACAGCCTTTGGTCAATCTGCAAAAAAGAGCCAATGCCAGTTATCGAGAACACACCAATCCGCTTTTTATTCATGCTAAACTACTCAAACTAAATGATTTAATATCCCACCAAACTGCACAAGTCATTTATAAAGCATAAAGTAAACAACTACCAGGAAACATTCAAAGGTTTTATTGTGAAAGAGTTTATAATTTAAGAGGAAAATATCAATTCAAAGTGCCTTTTGCTAGAACACCAAAGAAAAGTTTTTGTGTATCTGGTTTAAAACGTTGCCATAATATTTATAATTTCACAAAGTTATTTAAAATACAGTTATTTTGTGGATATCCAACAGAAACATTGTAATATTTATACACAGCACTCCCTTTCGGATATGATTGTATATTTTATCTATTCTTGAGTGAACAAATTGTACATACATTGTACACGTATATGTTTTTCTGTTTTTAAAAAAAAATGTATTTATATTATTTTTTATTGTCCGAACAAAGACTCATTCGTTCAATTGATTACTGAGCTCGACGAGTTTACTTTTACATGTACGTCAGTAGGAGCCAGAGGGAGGGGCCAAACGTCTCCATGAGCACTTCCCTATTGAACGAAATTGAGCTAGCGTGTTAGCATTGTCCGTCTGTGTACAGGCTGTGTGGGTCTCTGCAGTAAATACATTTAAATGGAAGTCATTGAGGACTTGTGTTTTTGAGATGACTGAAACAGATTCTGCTGAGAGTGAAATGGAAATGTAATTTTATGTAATGAAAGTGTAATGTCTGTTTCAAGGAACGTTGTTTTACTGATAAAATGTATCAGAAGCAGTTTCTCACTTGAAATGACAAAAATATTGAAGACACTTTCTACAGTTTATACAAAATGCAACTCAAAGTGCTTGACATTAACAACATAAAACAACAGAGGATCATAGTCTCGGCTAAACAGACTGTAGCCAGAGTATCGGCCTGTCTCACGCTTTCAGGACGCTTGTTCCATAGTTCAGGTCTGGAACACTGCCTCCCTATGCTTAGTCCTGAGTCTGGGCACCAGCAGGAGGCCAGTCCCTGTGCTCCTCAGAGTCCCAGCAGGAGGCCAGTCCCTGTGCTCCTCAGTTTACTTTGGAGCGAGAGACGTCTACAGAAGCAGAGGTGCTTTAAAGTCTATTCTCCACTTGATCCATTGAACCTTTAGCAAAGTGCTCAGATCCATGAGTTGGGACCAAGTGATTTTTAGAATGGGTAAACTACTGTTTGTTTTAAACCACATCTCCATCTTTTACATGTGTGACCTGTTTTCTTCTGTCTACTCTCCAGCAGGTGGATTGCATCGATAATGAGTGTTCAGGAGCTGCATGTATCACAGAGACCCATCTTTAAATCATTCTGTCTGCTGCAGGTTGTATCCCGTGGTTCCAGGAAACGCTCGATATGTGACGGAGAACGATGTGGTTCTGGGAGAATACTGGTTTCCCAAAGAGGTGAAGGCATTTATCATTTAAAGCTCAGGTCTGTAACTTTTAAACCACAGAACTAGAACTCTAATATAATCCATGTCATTAGTTCCTGGCTCTAAAACAGTTCACTTCTATCTATGGTTTTTGCACATGCATGTATTTCTGGCATCTGTAAAGCAAGTCTAAAGACGGTCTAAAACAGGACTAAAGTAGGTCTAAAGCAGGTCTAAAATTGGACTAAAGCAGGTCTAAAATGGGTCTAAAGCAAGTCTAAATCATGTCTAAATCATGTCTAAAGCAGGTCCTAAAGAAAGACTTAAGCAGGACTAAAGAAGGACTAAAGCCAAGTAAATATTCTCTAGATCCAGATATTTAAGGCACAGAGTGAATCTGTCCTGTTGCTGATTGTGTTTTGTTTGTGCAGACTCTGTTCCACCTGTGTCATTACTCGGTCTGCCACAGTCCAGATGAGTTCCCGGACCCAGAGTCCTTCGTGCCTGAGCGCTGGCTGCGGTCTCTGCCAGGGCTGCGGCCTCATCACCCCTACAGCTACATCCCGTTCGGGGTCGGGGTGCGCGCCTGTGTGGGGAAGCGTGTGGCCGAGATGGAGATGTACTTTGCCCTGGCGCGGGTGAGAAACGGCTCCTCGATCTGCTTTACTTCAATAGTGTTCAGTTAAAACGGCTCTTCAATCATTTTCAGTCTATGACACAGAACAACTCCAATGGAGTCGATCTTCGGGCCTATTCTTTTCCTATCGTTTGTAAAGGAACCAATTTAAACAGCTCTTCTTTCTGCTTTTCGTTAGTTTAATTCAGTTTATTTTGTATATCTCTGTATCACAACAGTCTCAGAGGACTTTACAAAGCTGATTTTCCAACACAGATCAGAGAATCAAACAGTTCAAACAAAGGTAATGCAATGATAAAAAACATGGAGCCATTGGTCCATAAGGAGCAGATGACTAATGTGCAGAAATGTTATTGAATGTTGAGTGCCCTGGATCAGCCCCGTCATAGTCACAGTTAAAACAGCTCTTCTACAGCCTTTGCAAAAGTATTTAGCATAGCTTGAACGTTTGCACATTTTCTCATGTTTACAAACATTATATTTTTTACTGAAAGTTCACAGAAGTAACAGACGACTGTGAAGTGAAAGTAAAATGATTCATGATTCTGTTATGCACAAGTATTCATACAGCATGAGATAATACTTTTTAATACCTTCTTTTGGGATTTGCACATCTAGAGAGAGAATGTTTAGCCCATTCCTCTTTACAAAGCAACTCAATCTCTGTCAGATTAGATGGAGAGCATTTGTGAACAGCAGTTTTCAAGTCTTTCCACAGATTTTCAATTGAATTTAGGTCTGGACTTTTTTTCAAACATCTCTCTGCTCTCCTCCAGTTGATGCAGCGATACCAGGTGCTTCCTGAAGAGGGTGCTCCTGCCATTGAGCCAAAAACCCGGACTTTGATGATCCCTGGGTCTGCGGTCAACCTGCGCTTCCTGCCGCGGGCCTGAAGAGGGCGCTGCTACAGCTTTTAAACTTGTAAACAAAACTCAACCCTCACTACCCTTTACAGCAAGGGTACGCAACTTTAGCTTCATAAATGACAAGTAGTTTGTCCACCAGAAAGACTCTTAATGCAAAATGAGACCTCATCATCCTGTCTTAATCTTATAAAACAAGATAAGATAAGACTTAATTAATCTCACACAGGAGAAATTTACATGTCACATTGGCAAGGATAGGAACACTCAAGAATTGTGCAAAAGTAAGAAATGTGCGGCATGTTAATGCAGGATATATTATGTTCAGAAAAAAGTGGCAATTAGAAAGTAGCGCTCCTTCCTACACTGAGGGTGCCTCAGTCTTCCACTGAAGGAGCTCCTCAGCTCCTCTACAGTCCTGTGCAGTGGGTGGGAGGTATTGTTTATGATGGAGGTGACTTTGGCTAGCACCCTCCTGTACCTCCTCCACAGAGTCCAGGGGGCAGCCCAGAGTGGAGCTGGCCCTCCTGACCAGCTTGTTCAGTCTGTTTCTGTCCCGCTCTGTGCTGCCCGGGGACCAGCACATGGCAGCGTAGTAAATGGCTGAGGCTACCACAGAGTCATAAAAAGTCCCGAGCAGAGGCCTGCTCACTCCGAAGGACCTCAGCCTCCTCAGAAGGAAGAGGCGACTTTGGCCCTTCTTGTACAGGGCGTTGGTGTTATGGGACGAGTCCAGTTTATTGTTAATGTGAACACCCAGGTATCAGAAAACATGTTCTTTTGTGTGGGAGAGATCCCAGTGAGTCTCATTCTGACTTTTTGGGCTGAGAGCTGATTGGCTGAGTGAGGGTGGTCCTTAGCCTGGCCTTAGCCATCCGTACACTCCGTTCAATCATCATTTCACTGCATGTAAAGTCTGGGTCTGGTCCCTGTGTTAGCGATTACAATCGGTTGAATTTCGACCGACCAATCAGCGAGCGCGGAAGGCAGGTGTTGTAGTTAGTTGTGGGTGACGTCAAGAGTTTGCGTCGAACAGGAAGGTTGTAGTTTGGATATGGCAAAAAATACGATAGAAAAGTAATCCGGTCTGGTTCTATCAAGAAATTGAAGCCGGAGCAAGAGAAATGTTTAGCAAATGTAATCACTGGAAAAAATTGTGGCGCTACTCCCCACGGGCTCCGTTAGCGGCAAAGGAGATGGCTAGGCTAAATGCTAACAACTCACTCGGGCGCATTACTTACGTGACGGTAAACTCAGATCCAATCGTTTCAATCTGCAAAAGGAGTTAACCCCTCCCACCTGTAAACGGAGCTCAATGGAGCACCTCCAGACCTTAGTATGAAATGTAATTTGTACTATGGTGTGGTACAACCAGGCTAGGTGGTCCTCTCTTTCGCTTTTCTGTCTAAAAAATCTGAGGCCAGATATACATGATGTAAAAACAAGGCCAAGACCAGGGCCGAGACCAAAGTTGAGACCAGGGCCCAGGACAACAAGACTGAGACCTAAAAAATACTTCATGCTACAGCTCACAAAGGTGAAAAATAGTTTAATAGATGTTTGTTTAATCATTGTTGGCACTTGCTGCACTTTAATGTTTTCTAACTTTGTAAACTGCTGAATAAAAATAAATCTTAGAGCAAACGTGGTTCATTGTGTATATGTGGAGGCAATAACTTACTATTGTAGAGAGCATAACAACCTCATAGCAACCTCATAGGAGCCAAGGAATATTATCTCCACTTGAGACCAGAGTTGACCAGGTCTGAACCAGCGGTTTGGGAAAGTGCACCTGAACTGTTGAATTTATTTGTGAACAAAATATTTAAAAGATTAGTTTGAGAATGTCTTCAGAAGAACATGTAGGTTTTGTGGTGACACTGGTCGTTATCATTCTGTCTTTCTTCAAAATGTTCAAACGGTCTAATTTATAAAATGTTTCTTTCTTCCAGAAATAACCAGAATAATCATTTAACTCGATTATAGAAACACAGTAAATACGTTTTGTGGAATTCAAAAAAACTTGGACCAGGATTCAAATGGGTCTAAAACTGTCCAGGGTGAATGTGTGGTCTGAGTAACCAGTTTAAACCAGTTTTGTTTAATGAAGATATAAATAAGATATAATTATTCAATAAGAAAACTGTGAAAAAACGCATCTGCGCATGCGTCAGCCACTTTTGAGCCGGGACCATGGATCTATTATAATAACGGCCGGGACCTGCCCCCACTGGGTGATGTCCTCTGGAGGAAACTCTGATGTTGATACGCTGAAGAAATATGTTCCAACATCCATTCTTCCCGGTCCTATTTTGGACATCAATTGCTTATTTATTTTGCATAATCTATGTATAATTAAATTGCTTTTATTTATTTTTTTCTTATCTCAAATGTCCAAAACATTCATTCAACATTAGCACAGCCATCATGGCAATGTGAATGGAGACAAACAACTGATTAAATAATTCCTTGTGTTTGCTGCTGGATTTGGTGTGTATCTGGCAACCTGAGTCAGGGAGAGTGGGAGAGAGCTACAAAATATTAACTATGACTGCAGTACCACTTTTGGCCAGATTTTTACATAATGCTCCTTATCCCTGGTGTTCAATGAGAATGAGAACGATGTGAATGAATGTGTGCGTCATTCATGCCGCTAGAGGGCGCTCTCTCTCCACGCGGTGTTCCAGTCCCTCCTCTCACAGACAGTCCACGGCCCCGGGCATCACCGCCTCTCCTCCGCATTCAGACAAGTGTCATTCCGCTTGAGCCCTGCCCTCTGCTCTGCACGCTGAGTCCCCGTGTGGATCAACTCAGTGCGGATCCACGGCCTCCGCGACACACCGGGGCCAGGCACCTCCTCAGGCCGACATGCCCGCGTCCTGAGCGGCCACATAGCAGCCGCAGCCACGGTCTCCTCCTCTCTCCTCCGCTCTCCTCCCAAGCGCGCTCCACTTTGACGCAGCATCATGTGAAGCCCAAATCCAGGCCAAAGATGGAGGTACGTGAACGCGCCGCTCACACACATGCACGCGCAGGGCTTTTCCCTCTTTTGTCCAGAGGAACCTGCTCCTCACGGTACCCGATTAAGAAGCACTGCCCTGGGGATGGAGGTGGTGTGGAGGCCGGGGCGGGGACGAGGACTGGGTGCAGCGGGAACAGTGGTATCGATCATGTTCTTGTTCTGGTGGAGTGGGCTCTGGGAAAGCAACAACAAAATGGCAGTGGTTTAATCAATAAATTATCACAAGTTACAGCGGTGTCTGTGATGATCTACAGGACACCGTCTTTGTTCATGTGCACTGAGGGGTTAACGGTTTGCATGTTCTCCCTGTGCCTGATTTGGTTTCCTCTGCACTGATCCATACTTCTATAGAGTCCAGGGTTCTGAGTGTAAGTTGTCGTTCGTCTCTGTTGCCTCTTCATAAACATTTGTGAATTACTGAGGACAGGCCTATGAACAGGTGCCACTCCCTCATCATCACTGTCTGTCGTGAACGGAATCTAATCTGTTTGTAAACCAGTAACATCGTCCTCCGAGATAACAAGTCCATCCTGTTGTAATTTAGGTCGACAGAAAAAAAAAAAACTCCAAACTGACCCTGGTCCTCTGCGTAGTGTTCAGGCAGTGACCAATGCTGCTGGATGTCACCAAATCAAATGGCAACACAAATGAGCGACTCTATCTTTCTTAAGCAGATTATCCAATCACAAAGCAATGTGGCCTGCTTGTGTTTGTGATTACAAATAAATCTGCTTTAGTATCGTGAGCAGAATGGACTTGAGTAGAGACCTGGTGTCCCCGACGTCGCTAGTGTCGATGTAGTCTCTGGTGTCTCTGGTGTCTCCCGTTGTCTCCTGGTGTTCCTGGTGTCTCCGGTTCTCTCTGGTGGTCTCCTGTTGTCACCTGTTGTCTCCTAGTGTCTCTGGTTCCTCCTTTTGTCCCTGGTGTCTCTGGTTCCTCCTTTTGTCCCTAGTGTCTCTGGTGTCTCCTGTTGTCCCTGGTGTCTCCTGTTGTCCCTGGCGTCTCCTTTTGTCCCTGGTGTCTCTGGTGGTGTCCCTCTGGTCTGTCCAAAGGGACTTGGCTCCTGGTTCTCTTTCCTGGTTCTCTCTCCTGGTTGATATGCAGCAGAGGCCTCTCCGTTGGCCTCACAGTCTCAGCTCCAGAGAAAGACTCCTGTAGAACAACAGCTGCTTGGGTCAGATGAGGGAGAGAAGACTATTTTCAAAGAAATGTTAAGAAGAAAAATAATTTGTCAATCTGTACCGACAAAGAACTTGTAGTAGAAGTAGTAGTTGGAGCAGGAGCAGTAGTCATAGTAGTAGCAATAGTAGCAGTAGTAATAGTAGTCGCAGCAGTGCAGGAGGGTCTAAACAGTGTTCATCCCGCTCTCTTTGGACTAGTGCCTCCTATGTGTTTGTTATTTCTTGTTTTGTGTTCTGTTTGCTTCTCTGTTGATGAATGGACTGCTGTTGCGATTTATGACTGTACACCAATACAATGAATTAGATTGAGTGGCAGCAGTTGCAGCAGCTGTAGTAGTAGCAGCTGTAGTAGTAGCTGTAGCAGTAGTAGCAACAGTAGCATTAGTAGTAATGGCAGTAGCAGCAGCAGTAGTAGAAGTATTAGTAGTGTATATAGTGGTGAGGGTCAGGGCTGGTATTTGATTGGCGGCTGTGATAATCCCGCCCTCGTCTGCAAAAATGACACAATTATAATGAGATTGAACTGGATTATAGACCTTTTCCTGTGCTCCTCCTGCAGTGTGCCGTCAAGACAGGACACTGGGCCATAGGGGGCGCTGTGACGTGCTTGTAATGAGTTCAAGTTGGAGCTAACCCACACAGACTCAGTGGTGATTAGAGCACACTCTTGGAGCAGTCTTGGGGTGACTCAGACGGTTGTGTAAGAGCCGCCTTCTCCACGCGTCTGGATTAAACGCCACATATAGCTGCAATTTTAGACACAGTGAAATAAAGCCGTCTTCTCAACCTCTGCTCGTGCGGCTCAGGGCAAGAAGGCTCTAAAGCTACACAATCACAGCAGGGACAGTACTCTGCATATTGACAGTGTAACGAGCCGTGGAGCTGTGTTTGAGTGAGTGAAGCTCTCACCCTCAGAGTTTGTGCTGCTCTTTCCTTAAGTTAGAATGAGTTTATAGTGCTCCCCGAGGAAAAAGAGCTGCTGTGGTCTATTATTATGTGATTTGCTCTGGTCTCTCTCTCTGGTCTCTTGTCTCTCGGGCCTCTTTCTCTGGTCCCTCTCTCTGGTCCCTCTCTCTGGTCCCTCTCTCTGGTCCCTCTCTCTGGTCCCTCTCTCTGGTCCATCTCTCTGGTCTATCTCTCTGGTCTATCCTCTGGTCCATCTCTCTGGTCTATCCTCTGGTCTATCCTCTGGTCGATCCTCTGGTCGATCCTCTGGTCTATCCTCTGGTCTATCCTCTGGTCTATCCTCTGGTCTATCCTCTGGTCTATCCTCTGGTCTATCCTCTGGTCTATCCTCTGGTCTATCCTCTGGTCTATCCTCTGGTCTATCCTCTGGTCTCTCTCTGGTCTCACCCTGGTCATCCTTTTTATTCTGTTTTGGTCTTTCCCGTGGTGAAAAGCTCACACGGGTCCAAACAACACGCCAACCTTTTACGTTGACAACAATTAGATGGAAGGAGCCGTTCTGTTTGTGATGCTACTGTTTCACGCATCCTCCTGACGTCTTGTTCTCGCTGCTGACTGGCTGCGGGGGCCAAGTGGAGGCTGTTGCCATGGTGCTGTGAGCTGCCTTGTGATTGGCTCTGGGTGTCCTCATGAATCCAGCAGACAGGAAGTGGATGAGACTGTTTGTTTGTGCGTCCCCCCCTCACCCTCTCTGAGCTGTCGCTGACCTGAGACTGAGGAGAAAGTGCCTGATCTTCTTCATGAGCAAGACATCTTTAGAAGAATCTGTTTATGTTTGATCAGCACACATACGACACTGCTGCACATCTGAAATAAATAAACAAAGGACTGATGGACTTGGACTTGTGGACTGCTGTCATCAATTGAACAAAAACCTGCAAATCTGTTGTGAGAAAATCCCTAAGACCTGATCTGAACTCAAAAACCTAGGACAAGATTACTATTGCTACTACAACTACCACTGCTGCTGCTGCTACTACTGCTGTGACAAACAACAGACACATTTTTAGCTGTTAGTGCATCACTATTGACTCCATAATGTTAAAACTGTTGGTTGAGGCCAGTGGGGGCGGGTCCCGGCTCCAAAATGTCCATGAGCGCGTGCGCTGACATGCTTGCAATACCCCTCCGGGCCGGTGGGGGTGCACACAAAATAAGAATTACCCAATTCTTTGTTTAGTGTCTTCTTTCCTCTCAAAAACGTTTTTACAGGATGGTCCAAAAGTTGGCTCTTGGCCCAACGCTACGTTCCAGATGTTTGTTGATGCTGAGGGGAGTAAAACATTTTGGACCAGTCTAGTTTAGCCGCTGTGGACTACAGAACGGCAGGGATAGGTGTTAATACGTTCATTAATATTTACAGTCTATGATTGGGGCCCTTTTTTGACCTGGGGGACCCTCGTTGGTCCTCCTTTTTTTTTTTATTATTTAATACCATGTGATTAAAATTCAATTTGATTAATTTGTGTTGTCAAACTGTAGCAAACACCTAAGAGCCATTAGTCTATAGGGAGACTGAGGCTGTAGACCTAGGACTGAGGCTATAGATCCAGGACTGAGTCTGTAAACCCAGGACTAAGGCTGTAGATCCTGGGACCGAGGCCCTTCTCGGCCCTCTTCGGTCCTTCTCGGCCCTCTTCGGTCCTCCTGGGTCCTCCTGGGTCCTCCTGGGTCCTCCTGGGTCCTCCTCAGTCCTCCTCGGTCCTCCTCGGTTCTCCTCGGTCCTCCTCAGTCCTCTTCAGTCCTCTTCAGTCCTCCTGGGTCCTCCTGGGTCCTCCTGGGTCCTCCTGGGTCCTCCTGGGTCCTCCTCAGTCCTCTTCAGTCCTCTTCAGTCCTCCTGGGTCCTCCTCAGTCCACAGATGCTACTGCAGTGTTGTGTCTGTGGAGCAGAGGTCAGAGCGGGACACGAACCCAGACGTTTCATTTATAATGCACAAGAGTTCAACCAACGTCAGTTTGTTACATAAAGAAGAACGAGTCACAGTCTGGTCTCAGTCAGGTCTCTGTCAGGTCTCTGTCAGGTCTCTGTCAGGTCTCTGTCAGGTCTCTGTCAGGTCTCTGTCAGGTCTCTGTCAGGTCTCTGTCAGGTCTCTGTCAGGTCTCTGTCAGGTCTCTGTCAGGTCTCTGTCAGGTCTCTGTCTGGTAACTTAAACTGATCAAACTTGATTTTTGAAGAAGTCTGAGGTTTCCTGCAAATGTGAGGAGCACTAAAAGAACACGCAACACGAGAGCCTCTGGCCACAGACGTGTTCTCACTCATTTTAAATCTCTGATGAGCTGGGAAACAAGTTCAGTCACATCCAAGTATTTAAATGGTTCTCAATGCCTAAGCCAATGGGGGCGTGTCCCGGCTCCAAAAGGTTCATGGACATGCTTGCAATACCACTCCGGGCCGATGGGGGTGCACCCGGAATAATAATTACCCAATTCTTTGTATGGCGTCTTGTATGGCGTCAAATTTATGTGGCTCATGCCAGCTAACGCATGCGCAAATGCGTTTTTTCACATTTTCCTGCCCCGCGGCCATTTTGAAAAAGCCCATAGAAGCCAAAAGTGGTGGCACATTAGTTTGAACGGCGGAGATGGGCGTGACTATGTCCATTTAGCTCAGTTGGTAGAGCATTGGCCTTAGAGCCTGAAGGTCGTGGGTTCGAGCCCACCACAAGACCTACTTCACAACTCCCACTGATGACTGCTGTTGTTGTGTCCTTGGGCAAGACACTTAACCCCACTTTGCCTGAAGCCCCCGCTGAAAGATCAAGTCCCCTGTGAGCTTTTTTATTTTCATGACTATGAAAATTGTATATTCACACATCAAAACTGTGAATTAACTCTTGTGAAATTATTTAAGTACCTAAAAAAAAGAATGAAACAACTGAAAATAGGTCTTATATTCTCGTTTCTTCAAAGTAGCATCTTTTTCTCTGATTACTGCTTCGCACACTCCTGGCATTCTCTTGATGAGCTTCAGGAGGTAGTGACCTGAAATGGTCTTCAACAGTCTTGAAGGAGTTCCCATAGAGGCTTAGCACTTTTTGGCCCTTTCGCCTACACTCTGTGGTCCAGCTCACCCCAAAACCCTTTGGACTGGGTTCAGGTCTGGTGACTGTGGAGGCCAGGTCATCTGGCCCAGCACCATCACTCTCCTTACTGGTCAAATAGCCTTTACACAGCCTGGTGTGGATCTACAGTCAATAGTCATGAAGAGAAAGGAAACTCATTGAATGAGAAAGTGTGTCCAAACCTTTGGTCTGTACTGTATATTTATATGTCTGTACTTGTCTGTACAGCACTTTGCTAAGCCTACGCCGTTTTAAATGTGCTTTACAATTAACAAAAAGCTGGTATCGGTATCAGCTCCAAAAGATGCTTGGTCCGTCGGCTTGTAATGTCCCCCTTGTACCGCTAGATAGGGGTATGTTCTATGGCACATGTTTGATTGACATGTCTCTCGTCAGGTGTGTGTGTGCTCGTGCCCGTCGCCACCCACCTGATCTGACTCCGCCCCCGTTCCTGTCGTTGCCATGGAGACCACGCTGGAGCCCCTGGACCCGGCCCTGGTGAATCCTGTGGTGAAGCCGGAATCGCTGGACCCCTGTGTGGACTCGCAAGGCCGGTACAAGGTGGTCCCCTCTGTGGTCTGCTCCATGTGCTGCCTGTTCGGAGTCATCTACTGCTTCTTTGGTGAGTCCTGGTCTAGTCCTGGTTTAGACCCTACTTTGAACCCTGCTTTGGACCCTGCTTTGGACCCGGCTTTGGCCCCGGCTTTAGACCCTACTTTAGACCTACTTTAGTCCTGCTTCTGTCCTGCTTTGGACCTGTTTTGTAAATGTTTTGGACCTACTTCAGTCCTGTCCCTGTGTGTGCAGGTTACCGCTGCTTCAAAGCCGTGCTGTTCCTGACCGGGCTGATGTTTGGCTCTGTGGTCATCTTCATGCTGTGTTATAAGGAGCGTGTGCTGGACACGCAGCTGAGCGTGGAGGCCGCCGCGGGCATTGGCCTGGGCATCGGCACGCTCTGCGGCTTGGTCACCATGCTGGTGCGCTCCGTGGGGCTCTTCATGATCGGCCTCCTGCTGGGACTGCTGGTTGCCTTGGCAACACTGGTGGGCATGGAGGAGCTGTCCGACACGCCGCCGCGCTCCGTGTGGGTATGTCTTGTCGCCTTCAAGGATAGAAGGAATTATATTTGTAACTTGTGTCCTGTAGCTACTAAAACCTGATGAAAAATAATAAATAATAATTCCATAAACTCAACACAATCAAAATACAGATATCAGCCGCATTGTTATATAAGCTGTATAGAAGTTCTAACAAACAAAAAGGCTTCTAGTACGAATATTATGCTAACTTATCACATTAATCGCACATCAACACATGCACTTCTCCTCAGGCTGGAAACTCTCTTCATTTGAAAAACTTGCCATATTTCAGTTAGGAATCTCTCAGAGTTCCTCTTGGACTCTGTATGCTCTCCGCAGTCCTGGTTTAAAGACCTCTCTCTCTTCAGGTTCCTCTGGGCGTGCTTCTTGGTCTCGGAATGATCTTCGCGGTCCTCACACTCCAGTGGCAGCGTCTCTTCACCACTCTCTCTACGGCGGCGTTTGGAGCCGCCATCATCACCGTGGCGACGGATTACTTTGTCGAGCTGTTTGCGCTGGTGCTTTACGTTGGCGAGCGACTGAAGGCCACACCCGCCGCTCCCGTCTGCTGGGTCACATGGGCCGTTCTGGGGGCGTGGCCTGCACTCACCGCCATCGGGGTCCTCGTGCAGTGGAAGCTCACTGCAGAGGGGTACTCACACACCAAAGGTATGACTGATACTACTGCTAATGCAAATGTTAATATTGCTAATTCTAATACTGCTGCTACTGCGGCTAATGCTACTGCTATTGCCGCTACTGCTATTGTTGTTACTGTTAATGCTACTATAGCTGCTGCTGCTTCTGTTAGACTTTAGTCCAATTTAATTATGTTAAACAAGACCCATGTAAACCCAGGTCCAACTGAGACAAGACCAGCAGAGGCCTTTAAGATCCCAGAAAAACACCTGTGTGTGTTTGAAGCAGATAGGCCACGCCCCATGTGGATCATGTGATGTAGGCCACGCCCCCTCAATGATCATGTAATGTGTTCCGCAGTCATCATTAGTCGTCAACAGCGGCGGATGCAGGTGATGCGGATCCGGCAGCGAGACGACCGCTACCGACACAAGAAGAAGAAAAAGACGGCGAGTGCTGCCATGGCAACCCAGGGAAAGATGGCCGCCGTGGCCGAGCCGGTGTACAGGAGGAAACCCAACCCCATCCGGCGCTACGACACCGACGTGCTGTCACCGGTGAGTCTGGTAGAAAAAAGTTCAGGAATGTAATTAATTCAATTCAATGTGTTCCTATCGCCCTAAATTACAATAGTCACCAACACAGATCAGAGAACTGTTTAGCTTCATAAATAACACATGTAATTGTCTTAGAGTCTTGGAAAAGTAAAATATTGTGAATAAATCACACACAACAGGTTGTTTTCCTTTGTGAGAGAGATCCTTGTGAGTCATTATCTGACTCTTTGAGAGCTGATTGGCTGAGAGAGAGAGTCCTGAAAAAAAAGAGTAAGGAACTAGGATGAGACAGGGTTTAGTTTAAAGCTTCATAGGTCCCTAATTGTTGCTCATCCTGGTCATCTCTTACTCCATTATTGTTGTTCGCAGAGTTACATCCAAAGTTTCCGGGAACGGCAGGTGCAGGCTCAGCCCTTCCCTTCGCGTCTCGTGCTCGACTTGGCCTCTGGACCTCAGCTTCAGGCCTGAACCTGCAGACCTCCTCTCGACCACTTCCAGACCTCCTCCAGACCAACTCCAAGACCCCCTCCCGGATCATCTCCAAGACCACTTCAAGAGTGAAAGTCTAGAGCCCCGTTCACACCGGCTCTACTCTACCACAGATTGTAGAAGTGTTTGCCTTAATGTAGAAAATTGGAGCTAACAAGCAAGAGACCAGAGAGAGACCAGAGAGAGACCAGAGAGAGACCAGAGAGAGACCAGAGAGAGACCAGAGAGAGACCAGAGAGAGACCAGAGAGAGACCAGAGAGAGACCAGAGAGAGACCAGAGAGAGACCAGAGAGAGACCAGAGATGATTTGTGCTTGCGTCTTTGTTTCATGTGGATTGTTCCAGGAATTACAACAAAAATAGCAACAAATTTAGTGAGTTTTTACTGTTTCCATAGCTACCAGGAGAGATGTTTCAGCTGCTCCACCATGTGAAAATTCAGGCTCTTTGCGAAGCTCTCTGATGTCACTTGCAGCCCTGGATACTGTAATGGAAACACAACCAGGGTAGAGTAGAGCCGAGCCGGGCCGCTGGAGACCAGTCTGCGAGAGCGACCAAAGACTGAACAAAGTTTAACAGAAACCTTGGGACCTGAGGCTGATTTTACTACTACCCTGATGCATGGCGAACTAGAACCATGTGTACTGGGACCATGTGCACTAGGACCACGCACACTAGGACTGGGATCTTTCACACTCGCAGGTTGGGTTTGGGACACTGTAAATAGGACTTCTCTGGTGCCATAGGGGGTCTGGCCTCTGGTGCTGTTTGTCTGGTGCTGAGTTTTTTTCGGTGCCTTTTTCAAACTGTGTGAAATAATGAAACAATAAACCACAGGGTCACGGCAGAGATCAGGTTTGAAACGACAGGAATCAGGATTTTATACAGAACCAGCAGAGACTAAAGCAGAGACTAAAGCAGAGACTAAAGCAGAGACTAAAGCAGAGACTAAAGCAGAGACTAAAGCAGAGACTAAAGCAGAGACTAAAGCAGAGACTAAAGCAGAGACTAAAGCAGAGACTAAAGCAGAGACTTAAGCAGAGACTAAAGCAGAGACTAAAGCAGAGACTAAAGCAGAGACTAAAGCAGAGTCAGAATTTATCAAAATCCTGAATTCAAGTCGTTTGAAATCATAGAAACGATATATTTACGTCAACATCTGATTGTGCTGTAAACAGTATTTTAAATAAATATAATAAAAGATGTACTGATGTTGATTTAAATATAATTGTTTCCAGAGCGATGACAGTTTTAACAGATTCTGATATTGAATTTCATTCGTTGAATTTTGTGGTTTATGAATATAATCATAATTTAGAATGTCTAATTTCCTAGTTTACTATTTAAGATTTTTTTTCTTTTATCTATGTTTCTAGATTAAATTATATTTTAAATGTATCAATATTATGTTTTTGTTTATATATTTTTATTTATTTAGTTTTAAATGATTTTTCCAGAATATTAAAGGGATTTTATTTAAAATAAAATAAAAAATCCGTTTTTAAAACTGCAAAATTATGTGACTGAAATTCAACACGTATGAAAAATGGCCATATTTTATACCAGTTTTTTGTTTTTGTTTTTAAACTAAGAAATTGTAAAAAAATGATCTTTTTAACAAAATGTCACTAATGTCTTTGTTCAGCAGCTGGGCGTTTATTCCAACAATATGCTGAAACAGTAGAAACATGTACAGAATGTTCACGGAGTGTTTTGTGGAGGTTCGTCTTCATCGTTTTCCTCTGTGTGTCATATGTTTTGTTTTGATGCTGTTCACAAACCTGTGTTTTATGTGGACCGTGCTTTCAACATGAAATTAACAAAAGCATGTGTCTCCATCGTGTTTCCAGAATGTTCTAAAACTCAGCTATATTTGTGTCTATTCTGTAAAAAATATATGAATAAACACATGACAAATGCAGCAGCAGATAAGTCTGGATCCTTTCTCGTGAGTCCTAACCCTTATAAAATGAGACTTTGTTCAATAACTCTTAAATTACATTAATGTGAACACTACTGATGAAAGTAGTGATGAGTTCTGTCGAGGAGGTTTGAAAGAGAGGTTTTAAGTAATAGTGTAGTTACTTGGCATCTTTGCGCACAGACAACAGCGGTTTGGCGCCCTCTCGTGGACATAGGCTTTTGTGATTTGAAGATTCTGTGTGGATCTGTATCGAGTAGAAACTTCATCAAAACAAAATACAAATCTAATGTACATGCACATGTAGAACCACCTTTGTCCAGGATTTGAGACGTGCTACCATGTGGACACAGACTGAAACTACACGTAAACAAAGGACAAGGTATGATTTTTTTTTTAAATCAGAAAACATGTTTTCTGTAGACTGTATCCTGTTGCAGTCTGTATCTGTTGATTATTATTAAAAACATAAAAATCGGAACCAAATCCTACAAACGTTTGATGATCACAGCAGGAATCACGGCGGAGGTATGTACCGATGTAAAAATATGTCAACGCATCAAACGTGTTACTTTCATAATAATAATCAATGTTTTTATACTCAATATTTTATCTATTTACATCGACAACTTCAAATTAAAAATACAGAAAAGATTATTGCAACGAACTGCAAAATTAGAAAATAATAAACTTTAAATTCAGAAAGTACTTGTAGTTTCCATCTGTGTCCGCCAGAGGGCCAGGAGACCACAGATCCATCCATCCCTCCATTTTCTACCCTTTAATCCATTTCTGGGTCAGGGGGGTGGCAATCAGAGATGCCACCCAAGTCTCATAGCACCAGCCCCTCACTGACCCTCTGCAGGTGGTGCCACAGCTTTGGTCTTTCAGTGGGGGCTTTTGGGCAAAGTGGGGTTAAGTGTCTTGCCCAAGGACACAACGACAGCAGTCATCAGTGGGAGTCGATGGAGAAGGTGCAGAGGTGGGAATTGAACCCACAACCTTCTGGGCTTAAGGCCAATGCTCTACCAACTGAGCTACTGTCGCCCTCCGAGACCACAGATCCCCTCTGATAAACAGGACTACAGTTAATTTAATCATTTTTAATTCTATTGATAAAAAACGCGTTCACTGATCTCTCATTTTCATAAATAGGCAATAGACATTTTAAATGGACATAAATGTAAAACCAAACGGTTGGTTCGCCTATGCCCCGGTCAAAGCTAATACTAAAAGGTCCAAACCAAGCTAGTAAACACAATATTACATGGAAACTCCAAACAGCTGGTTTTATAAATTGTATTATTCCATTTTGTGAAAACTTTAAAATTAAGACACAATACATACAAGGCTTTCCAGATGTTAGCATTAGAATCAGCATTCATTCATTAATTTTCAACCCCTTTATTAGTCCATTTCTGGGTCGGGGTGTGACAAGAGCTGCACCCAATGCTCATAGCACCAGTTCCTCACTGATCCTCTACAGGAAGATGCTGCTACATTATTGGTGCCACAGCCTTGGTGTTTCAGCGGGGGCTTCAGGCAACATGGGGTTAAGTGTCTTGCCCAAGGACACAACAACAGCAGACATTAGTGGGAGCAGTTGGAGCAGGTCCCGTGGTGGGCAATCAGCGTGTAAGCTAATATATGACAAACTGTTACAATTCCACTTTTCAACCTCAGTATTTCAGTCAAACAGACCCGTGTGTCTGTGTCGGTGTTATTCTCACAGATTAAAAACTTAGTGTTTATCTTAAGGAAATTAGTTGTAAACATAAAAAAAAAAAAAAAAAAACACTTGTAAAGACACTTATTCTCACACCATAAAAATGTACTTGTAAAAATAATAAACAGTGGTCCCAGAGCTAGTCTTTCCTCTTCCAAACATTTCCAGAAAACTCCACTGGGGGGCGCCCTTTCACTCCGAGTCCAGACACCTGTAAAAACAAGAGTCTGTTAAAACCAGTGGGGGCGGGTCCCGGCTCAAAAGTGGCCAAAATGATGTGCGCTGACATGCTTGCAATACCACCCCGGGACGATGGGGGTGGACCCAGAATAAGAATTAGCCAATGCTAACATATAACAGACCTCTCGACCTTTGGCTCTTTGGCCAAGGCCAAATGCTGAGGGGGTGAATTTTTTTGGACCACTTTAGTTTACTCGCTGTGAATTTTTGAAGTCTCTCGTTCAAATGAATGGAGTTGCGCCGGCTGATGATTTTTTTCACAATTTTCTTGTGGGCGGGACCACTCGCGGCCATTTTGGATAGCTCCAGTAGGGCACAATTTTTTGACCCATTAGTTAGAACGGTGGAGATAGGCGTGACTACATCCATTATTTTTGACAGTCTATGGTTAAAACTGAAACAAATGAGACTTTATCCTGGGACTTGCTTTCCAATGAAAATGGTATGTATTTGTATAGCACATTGTAAAAGAAACAATACAAGAAAACATTGAACAAATACAGAAGTTTTCTTTTTTGTTACAACCATTAAATACAAAAAAACCAACATACATGAATAGGAAATAGTTCCAAGGGTTCCATTTACAATGGGTAATGGGAGAAAGTTGTCTCCCAGAAAGCCTGTGTTTAATGCAGTTTAGGGTACATAAAACATAATAGGCCAAATGTAGTAATAATAAAATATAGACATGATCCAGTTTGTGTTTTTAAAACCGGTGTTGGCTCTGAGCAGCACCCTCTCTTACCCTGAAGGTGGCGCCGGCGAGGGGCTGCGCGCTGAGCTCTGATTGGCTGAGGCCCACAGATGCAGAGGTTACGTAGAGGTCATTGTACTGAGGTCCTCCAAAGCAACAGGAAGTGGTTTTTGAGACAGGAAGTAACACGGTCTGGAGCCGCACACCTGGAACGCACAGAACCAGGTTTACATCGTTAAACAGAGTTAACTACTGTGATTTTCATAAACACACTCTCTGACTCCAGTTGTTATAACTCAGTTGATAAAGCACCAGCTCTGACACTGAAGGCCTGGGTTCCATTCCCTTCAGGGGCAGCTGCGACTGAGGAAGTACAAACAAGATGGGGAAGCCGGTACAGGACAGGGGGAGGACAAGCACCTACCACAGTGGACCATGTGAGAGACAGATACCAAAGACTGAAGACCTGAAAGACAGAGCTCAGAGTGAAGCACTGTTTGAAAGTCTCCTGGAGAAGGATTGAGGAAGAAGATCACATACATTATCTGACTGAAACACACAACTAAATACGTTTGAACTTTCTATCCATCCATCTTCTTCCCCTTAATCCATTTCTGGGTCTGGGGGGTGGCAGGGGGTCCCTCACTGGTCCTGCTGCAGATGGTGAGTCCACAGGAGGATGGTTGCTCTGTCAGTGTGAGCATAGCCTCGATTTTTCAGCAGGGCTTCAGTCTTAGGTCGTCTCAAGTCATTAGAGCAGATAATGTCGTGTTCCTCTCCCTCGATCCTCCTCCAGGAGACTATCAGACAGTACTTCACTCTGAGCGCACACATCTTGTTTGTACTTCATTAGTCTGTGGTTGAGGTCACAGCTGCCCCTGAAGGGAATTGAACCCAGCCCCCCACTGTCAGTGCAGCTGCTTTACCAATTGAGTCACACAACTGGAGTGTTGTGCAGGGCATTAGGGTTCAGAGGAGTGATCGTATCAACAGGCTTATACCACTGCGCTGTCGAAAGGAACGTTTCAAGAGATCCTTTGTTCCTTCGGCTGTCAGACTGTACAACAGACCTGGATGAGTCTTCTTCGCCTGAATTTCTCCTACAGGGGATCAATAAAGTATCGATCTATCTATCTAAGTTAGGAAAACTCATCCAAATTCAGCTTGGAAAAAAATGGTCTTGGAAATGTTGGTAGCTCTAATGTGATGGTAATGTCTGGTACCAGCGGCGAGGTCTGGTACCAGCAGCGAGGTCTGGTACCAGCAGCGAGGTCTGGTACCAGCAATGGGAGTGGGAGAAGGATTTGAATCCAGCTGAGGATACATCAGCAGTGAGGAATGGGTTTGGGACAATGTTCTAATCCCATGTTGAGAGTTCAAATCTCAGTTGGTAGTTGTTCATCAAGGTTGTGAGTTCTAATCCTGTCCAACAGTCAAACTCCGCTTTGAAACACCCTCTCTCAGTCCCAACAAACATGAAAACACGCAACATTCAAATCAGAATCAAACAGTTTTATTAATCACTGTAGTCGCATTATATTATGCATAACAATATTATGGCACCATTAGCAGCAGTGGAATCAATAGCCTTGGCATCAGAAGCATTAGCAGCAGCAGTAGCATTGGCAGCAGCCGTTACAGAAGCAGTAGCATCAGTCGCAACAGCAGTAGCATCAGTAGCAACAGCAGTAGCAACAGCAGTACAATCAGTAGCAGCAGCAGGAGTAACAGAAGCAGTAGCATCAGTAGCAGCAGTACCTGTGCTTGGATCAATCCTCAGGACTCGCCCCCCATTGAAGCAGGAGACCCAGACCATCCCCTCAGAGTCCACCGTGAGTCCGTCTGGGAGTCCTTCCTCTTCCCTCATCTCGTACACCACTCGCCGAGCAGCTGCAGGAGACAGAACAGTTTAAATCAGAGCCTTCCGCCCGATTCCCCCTGCAGGTGGATCACTGACTTCCTGACGGACAGGAAGCAGCGAGTGCGTCTGGGGAAGAATGTCTCGGACTCTCGGATTATAAACACAGGAGCCCCACAGGGCTGTGTTCTTTCTCCCCTGCTCTTCTCCCTGTACACCAACCACTGCACCTCCAGCCACGACTCCGTGAAGCTGATCAAGTTCGCGGACAACACCACCCTCATTGGACTCATCTCCAACAACGATGAGTCCGCCTACAGGAGGGAGGTGGACCGGCTGGTGTCCTGGTGCAGTGGTAACATCCTGGAACTGAACGCCCAGAAGACAGTGGAGATGATTGTGGACTTCAGGAAGAGCACTGTCCCCCCCCCCCCCCACCCTCCGTGATGGACTCCCCCATCAACTCTGTGGAGTCCTTCCGTTTCCTGGGCACCACCATCACCCAGGACCTCAAGTGGGAGCCGACCATCAGCTCCCTCATCAAGAAGGCCCAGCAGAGGATGTACTTCCTGCGGCAGCTCAGGAAAGCCAAGCTGCCTGCACCGATGTTGGTGCAGTTCTACACGGCCATCATCGAGTCCATCCTCACCTCCTCCGTCACCGTGTGGTTCGCTGGAGCCACAGTCAGGGACAAACAGAGACTACAGCGCATTGTGCGCTCTGCAGAGGAAGTGATCGGCCGCAGCCTTCCATCGCTGCAGGACCTGTAGGTCGCCCGAGCTGAGGCCGGGCTGGTCGTATCACAGCCGACCCCTCTCACCCTGCACATGGACTATTCCAACCACTCCCCTCAGGCAGGAGGCTGCGGTCCATCAGGACTAGAACCTCCCGCCACAAGAACAGTTTCTTCCCCTCTGCTGTTGGACTCTTGAACACTTCTTAACCTGTCCCCCCGCCCTTTATAAAGTCACTTTACTGCCCATCATACGTCACTTTACTTCACTGTACTGCTGACACCTTACATTGTGTGCACCATGTGCACTTGAATATTGTAAATAGTAACTGTAACTCTATTTTAAATTTAAATGTATTCTTTAGAAGTGTTTTTTATTCTTATTTTTATTATCTCTTTTTGACTGTTGCACTGAGCCAAAGCAATTTCCAAGTCTGTGACCTCCTGTTACTTACGTGGCAATAAAAATGATTCTGATTCTGATTTGGACAGAGGGGGCAGGGGTGAGCTTCTGATGTTAGCTACATACCCGGGAGTCCTGTGACCACGTCATAATCAAAGACATCCAGAGTTTTCTTCATACTGTCCACGTAGAAAAAGAGCGAGCCGTCAGACGACCAGTCCAGACCGTTAGAGATGTCCACCTGGAACATCACAGTAAACCTGTCCATTAGAATGTCACAGTGGAACAAGGACATCAAACTGTTACAGGACTGAGACAGAAGGGGCAGAGGAACATGTTTGGGCCAGACCATAGACTAATTATTATGAAATTCCTGATATGATCGTGGATGGATCTAAAAAGAACTCCAGGTCTGTTTCTGCCATTTTGCATAACTTGTCTCCTTTAAGTAGAAGAGAGAACGTTGTTCTGCTCTTCTACCACCAGAGGGATGTGTTGAATGTCTTTACAGGCAAAAGTTTTGTTTTATACAGCAGAAACCAGGTCGTCTTTTGTTCACCAGACTCTAGAACTGTTTGGACAGGATTCAACCTGTTAAGCTTTCACATCAGGTTCATAATGATTGAAGAGATAAAGCAGCGTTTTGTGACACGATCAAAAACAATAGCTGAGGTTTGTACCTGACCAAAGTGTCGCAGCAGCGTCAGCTCTGAGTCCAGAGAAAACAGAGAGCCCTGTTTCCACAAGACTGGAGAGGCCTCAATGTCTCCCATGGTCCCTGCAACACAACCAGGCGTACTGTTACTGCAACACAACCAGACTGTTACAGCAACACAACCAGAAGTACTGTTACTGCAACACAACCAGGCGTACTGTTACTGCAACACAACCAGGCATACTGTTACAAGGCAGTAACAGTATGACAGACAGAGTATCTTCTTCAGACCTGTCTCCACGATGATGGTTCATTAAGCTTGAAAATAACAGACAACCGGCTCCGGTTCCTCTGGATCTCTCATCAGGATCCTCGATGATGGACACGTCCTCTGGTGAATGTTAAGGTGTACTGCTTCTGGTCTGATCCGGTCTGAGGTCCTCACCTGCAAACAGTCGGCCGGTCGGATCCACTTTTCCGTCATTGAAGCGGTTTTGCGGTTTGTCGTTGTCCACGGTAACCAGTGACGTTACCGCTCCTGTCGACCAATTGACAGCTGAGAAACTGCATCCTACTCCAGCCAGGTACCCACCCCCCTGCACCGGCACGGCGAAGCCAACGGTAGAATCTGCCCAAAAGCATCAGTTCAGGACACATATTTCTGACGTATGTTGGACCTACTCTGCTCTGATTGGTCACCTGTACTGAGGGAAGAAGTCTGATTGGTCAAAGCATTCCAGCGGTGGATACTTTTTCCTATGATGTCAACGAACAATAGCGTCTGTTCTGATTCCTCCCACACTGGGCCTTCTCCAATCAGAGCGCGGAGATCCAGCATCGGCTCCACCCTCACAGACGACGTCATGCTTCAGAGGAAGTGTCATTAGAAAAATGCATTAATATTTTACTTTTACAAGACTCTTTCTGTTAGACAGACTACATGTGTTATCTGTAAAAAAGTTCCCTCCCTCACACGTTTTTATTAAACAGCATTACGAAAACATGCACGCACTATCACGTTAGTACGACATGAGAAACGTGGAAGTTTATGTAACACGTGACCTTTCACACTGTTCCACTTGGGACTGCGCGTTTTACTCACGCAGTAGGATCTGGTGCGAACGCCGTGTTGCTGAAAGCGAAAGTTTAACGGGACTGAATCACGAGGTTATTATTTATAGATTTATAATGATAGACTGTGGATAAAGCAGCAGCTGATCCCAGGCTCCCACAGGGAACACTTGCCTGTGCAGAGGAGGGACTTCCTTGGCCCTTGACGCAGCTTGCGTTTTACATATTAAAGCTCGGATACCTAACTTTTTTTTGTTTCACAAATAACACATTTGTTTGTCCAATGGAAAGAGTAAACTTCTGTGGACAAATCAGACATATACATGCTGCAAAACATGTTATATTTCCTGTACACATGTACCCTAGTCGTAGACAGAAAAACATGAAGTGAAAACTAGTGACAGAAGTATCTGTTGCAGAGACAGGAATTACTGACAAAAGGTAAATTGGGTGTGGATTTACGAACTCCAGCTTTAATGCAACATATTACATGTACATTTTATACCATATATGATACAAATTTGTATCAAAACAATTATATATTAAAAGGTATTACATTTGTGTTTGTATTCTATCCCTCCACATTTAAATAATAATCCCAGACACAAAAGTAAAAACATAAAATCTTTAATAAATGTAAACAAATTTCATCAATTATAAAAACGCAAACATTTAAACCATTACCTTGTTCAACAGAAAACTAAAATTATAATAAAGGCACCACATTCAGCGCCACAGTAATTTTCACATCTGTATAAATAAAACAGTGTAAGTTCCATGTTGATCCAAAGCGATAGCGACAGTATAAATGTAAATCCATGGAGACTAGAACATGGGCAGAGTCTGTGGAAAGTGCTTCTGTCGTCTTTAAAAGTGTTTGATTCACACGAGCAGGGGGCTCAGAGCAGCACACAGGCCCCAGACGAGGCGCTCCGTCTGGGGAAGGCTCTGACCGAAGGCCCCCTGTTCACTCCTCCAGGGTCAGGGGCCTGTGCTGTCTGTGTGTCCCCGCTGGTGGAGCTCTGAGCTGGGGCAAGGGCAGAAGGAAGAGGGGTGTCTGTCTGTGTGTCCCCGCTGACAGAGCTCTGAGCTGGGGCAGGGGCAGAGGGAGGAGGTGGGTCTATCTGCTTCGACCGAGAGAAGGAGAGTTTTCTGAAGAGGGACAACTGCAACATAATAGATCCACATCAGAAGAAATTAACACAAAAGGAAGTCTGAGGCGTTCACATTGAGGCAGGGACACACTTCAAATATGATCATGCGTCACCTTTTTGGAGCGTCCTGATTGGCTGTCGGAGCAGCTTTCAGTTGTGCCATTGGTTGGTTGTTCAGTCTCATGGTTTGGCTCCTCCTCTCTGGGCATCTCTTCCTGTTGCGCACCTATTTTAAAGGTTGTGTCGTTAACATCTTAAAAGCACTGTGGCTGCCGGACTCGTCCCGGAATCCGGATTCGTCCGGAAGTTCAGCTTGATCATACACAGCACTAGATCGTATACGGAATCGGGACGGAAGCGGAAGTAAATATAACAAACTACCTCTTCATACCTAAACTTAACCGGCCATTCCCAAAGAATAACCCCAACCCACCCTTAACCCTAACCTTAACCATCTTACTCAGACACCTAACACTTAACCAGTCACCACTAAAGGACTTATTAACTGAACTTCCGGACGAATCCGGTTTCCGCGACAAATCCAGTAGCCACGTGCACTTTTGAATGAAGGCCCTTTGAAACACAGTGTTACCTTTGGGCTCCTGCAAAGTTGACTCCTCTTCTTCAGACTCCTGCACAAACAAAGTCAAGGTCAACCAATGCGGGTTTATTTGTTATTGCACAGTTCATGGACAAGTAAACTCAGAGTGCTTAATAAAACAAGAAAGGAAACATCAACATAAACAATCACACAACCGGGAGGCCAGTCCCTGTGCTCCTCAGAGTCCCAGCAGGGGGCCAGTCCCTGTGCTCCTCAGAGTCAGAGTTGATTCATGTGTACTTTGGTCCATGGAGAGACCAGTGTATGAGAGGGTTTTTCATATTAAACCTCTGTTGTTTCCCCCTCCAGTACATTGCTTCAGTAATTTACCATCTTTGTGAATACACAGATGTCAAACCCACCCCTTCCTGCTCTGGAGTTTCCACGGTTTCGTCTGAACTGTCGTCTGATCTAGACTCTTCAACGTCACACTCTTCATCACCAACCTTCTGTTCAAACATGTTAAAGAGTCAGACATTTTAAATGAAAATAGAACACACATATTTCCATGTCTCTGACCTCTTCCCTCGGCTCCGCTGCTGCGTCCTTTAACAAACATTTAAAATAAACGTTTAAAATAACAAACTAAAAGTGTTGTTTACAAACCTCTTCTTGCGCTGAGTCTTGCTGGTGCCACCTCTGTCAGACAAAAGCGAAACACTCAAATCAAATTAACATGAGGCTCTTCCGTTGTTTTCCCAGATCATTATTTGATAGAGATTAGATTGACAAAACTGACATTCTTCTGTCTCAAAGCCCATTCTACTGGATACCATCATGCAGAGAGGACCGAGAGAGAGAGAGAGGACCGAGAGAGAGAGAGAGGACCGAGAGAGAGAGGACAGAGAGAGAGAGAGTCCAGAGAGACCAGTAAGAGAGATCAGACGTGGGACTTTGTGACAGTTTTTGTTTCATGTGGATTGCTCAATGAAATACAGAGAAATAAGCGCTAAACTAAGACTATATTTTGACTTTTGACGTTTCCGTAGTTACCAGGAGAGATGTGTTGGCTTCTCTCCTCAATGTGAAACTATCGCTCTATGGAACATACTGATGTCACATGACATAAACTTGTAAAAAGGACTGAAACTTTCTTTCATGCAAATATTTATTACAAATATGGGCTTGTTCACACTAAAGGGCACAAAAGTGTGACAAAAGGCCAAAAATTTGATTTTAATAATCAGAAGATATTTTATGTTTTTCATGTCTCCAAACACCTCCTCTGTCCATTAGAAGTTTCTAGAACATAACTGTTTTATACATTAGACAAGTTTCCTGTAGCGGTAGTTTGTTACGTATTTTCAGATGTCCACATTTGATTAAGAGATTCTACTTTTTTACTCAAAGTAGAAACAAAGTGATACTTTCATAAAGTCAACCAATTAAATGTGAAACCAGACCAGATTTTTTTTGTTCTCAAGTTTAATTTTCAGAGAAAAGAGGACCGTCCTCATCACGTCCGTTATACATTTTTCAAGGGTCATTTAATTAATGAATATCTATTTTTTAACGATTCCTTTTATATCAAATGACTTACTTATGTTGTGTTAACCATTTTAATTTTGTGGGATTTCATCTGACGCTTTTTCAGACTGAGGACATTTTATTTTCTGTGTAACTGGCGTCACAGTAGAATGGTCAAATCAGAGGATGATTTGGTCGTTTAAAATGTCGCAAAAAATATATTTGTCAATCTTTCCTTTTGATTTTATCCACACTATCTCTTCAATGTGTCTGTTTGAAATCTTTTTTTCCAATCTATGACAGTAATTTTAGTTTTTGAGTTATAACCTTTTAAAGTCCAGATACTTTAATTGACACTGTACTGTGAACACACTCATATCTGTAGTTTGTGCAGTTCATGAAAAGTTGTGAGGAGTGAAAAGGAACAGCTCTGGTTTCAGCTGCGAGGAATTTGGATCAAAAACAGGAAAAATCAAAACTCACCTTTTTGAATTGGTTTCTTCAGCTGTGGTCAGAAAACTGTTCTTTAATGTGACAGTGTGAAGCAGAGCAGATGAAAAAGTAGAGAGGGCACGAGATGTAAGAGAGAAATGTGGCTTGAAAAAGATTTTATTGCGAAGAGTTTGAAAATCACAGAAAATAGAAAAGATACACAGAAAAGAAAAACAAAAGAAATGTTATTCTTTAAACAAATACAAGAGAGACATTTTTGATCAGAAAGACCATAAAGACAATCTAGAACAGAATATATATATATATGTCTGTGCTTATTTCTTCGAATATATGTTCTGTTGTTTGTTTGTTAAAGTACATTATCACCATAATAATTCTTCAATAAATAAAAAAATTTAACAATAAATTCTTGAATAAATTAAATATAAAAGTGTGTTTTTGCTCATTCCTCTGAACCATGTGACTGAAGATGTTTTGCCGAAAAAATGCAAATAGCGGAATGGATTAATCACAGAATATTTGAGGAACTCTAAAAGAACAAAAAGCTGCAGCCGAGAATCTGTGGATCCCGCGTTTTACTACTTATAGGTTTTTTTAGAAGGTAACCACGGCGATTAACGAGGAATCACTGTAAATACATAATATGCATGATTTTTGTGCTTAATAATTGTTTTTCATCTGAGCGCCAGGTACTGCGGCATCACGTCCTCCCAGAACTCTTCATCTGCGGCCTGCCCTCTGACCCCAGCCCTGCGAGACCTGCTTTTCCTCTGCTCCTCTTCCTCACTGCTTTCATCTTCACTCTCCTCTTCATCACTACTCTCCTCCTCCTTCTCGGACTGACTGCTCTCCTCCTCACTATCCTGCTCCTCCTCGGACTGACTGCTCTCCTCCTCACTATCCTGCTCCTCTTCCTCGGCCTCACTGCTCTCATCCTCCTCCTCTTCGCTTCTATTATCTGTGCTGTCACTTCCCTCCTCCTCTTCCTCACTCTCGGCTTCCTCTTTGGTTTTCCCTGCACTGCTTTTACTCTCCTCATCCTCCTCTTCTTCACTTTCATCCTCCTTCGAAGCTGAACTTTCACTGCCTTCTTCTTCTTCCTCCTCCTCCTCCTCCTCCTCCTCCTCCTCCTCCGTCTCAGATTTCTTTACTGTTGATTCACTTTCGTCTTCATCTGTATCTTCTGACTTATCCGCTGAACCCTCTTCCTCTTCCTCCTCCTCCTCTTCTTCCTCTTCATCTGTAACCTCTGAATTTTTGACAGTCGACTCGCTTTCGTCTTTGTCCGTATCTTCCAAATTTTTCACTGTAGATTCGCTCTCATCTTCAGTAGTGTCAGATTTTTTTGTGGTTGACTGGCTTTCATCTTCTTCCGATTTATTCACCGAACTGTCGCTCTCTCCTTCTTCCTCTTCCCCCTCCTCTTCCTCATCTGTAACGTCCGATTTCTTCACCGTAGACTCGCTCTCCTCTTGGTCAGATTTCTCGATACTTTCACTCTTGTCTTTTTTCGTATGTTGTGATTTCTTGCTCGTTTTGCTCGTGGATCTACTGTCTTGGTCTGACTTTGTAGCTGTGCTTTGGCTTGCCTCCTCTTCCTCCTCTTCCTCCACTTCGCTGACGTCAGCGCTCGTTCGCTGCTCTCTGTCCGGACTGTCGGGGATCACGTTGATGCTGACCGTCGACATTTTGTGGCTAAGACGGCGAACGCTCGGCTCGGTTTGTGTTTCACTTTGTGACGTGATTTCGCGCACTAGTGTAGCTCCTGCCGCCCCCGCCGCCAAAGCTAACGCAGCCCCACCGGCTAGCTTCCCCAAACCGGCCGACGTGCTCTCAGACTCGCTCCCCTGCTCTTTGTTTTTAGACTTTTTAGAAATCTTTTTTTTGGCCGCTTTATTTCTCAGTACTTTCTGTGGCGTTAGCGTGTCTTTAGGTTGAGTTCTGCTCGTCTCAGTGACGCTGCTAAACGCTTTGTCAAGCTTCCGCACACTATCCATTTCACTCTCTGATTCGCTCGTCTTTGCGTTGTCTTTAGACTTTTTCTTGCCTTTGTTGTTTTTAAGTTTAGTTGTGGTAAATTTATGGTCTGCTCTTTGTAGCGCCCCCAAACCGTGTGGTGCGCTCTCCGGTTCACTATTCTGCGCTGAATCTTTAGACTTTTTCCCAGACTTATCATCGCCTTTAGCTTTTGTGATTATCTTTTGTGACTCTTTCTGCAGAGTTCTCAGCGAGATTGTAGATTGACTTTTGGTGTGATTTGTCTCTGTGTTGCTACTGGCCGCTAATGTTAGCTTCTCTGCTTTTTTCCCCGCCTTTCTACGACGTAAATGAGACAAATCGCGTGCGCTACTTTCCGAACTCAAGCGTTGTTTCTCCTTCACCGGCTGCAGCTGTTTTGTAGTTTGCGAACGCGCTCTCTCTTTGGGCTCTTTCTCAGCTTTCCTTTTCGCTTCAGGGTCCTGCCTGTTCTCTTTGCCCATTTTCTGATTAGCACTCTTCGACCCCGGCGAGCTTGCACTGGAGCTTCTGAGTCTCTGGGGTTTAGTGGGCGCACTGGAAGCGGTGGAAGTAGAGTTTTTCTCGTTCCGGAGCTGCTCCTTGTGAAGTTTTGCTTTCTTACCGGGTTTAACTTTCCTCTTTACGAAGGCAGAGAGCAGGAATAGAAATAGGCGCATGCATTAGAGATAAAAAGAAACAGAAGAGAATGGGATGAAGACATAGACAAGAACCCTCATGAATATAATATCTGTGTGAATATTGTAGACTTTCTCCTCAACATTTGGACCAAATGTGTGTTACTGCAGAGAAGTAGTGTTTTTACATTTACCTTCTGCACTGGGGACAGAGTGAGAGTCTTGTCACTGCTATCGGCTTCGTCCATCTGCATCACATGAGTCTGAGGGGAAACAGACATCACAGAACATCACAAACCCAAAGACGCTGAAGGTGAGGAAGCAAACAGGACCTTTCTGAATATTCTTCTCACCACGTTCAGGAAGTCTGTGCTGTCGCCCAAACCAGCCACGCTCTCAGAGTCCGACAAGCTCTCTGCAACACTGCAGGTCTCTCCTGGGACACAAGGACCTGATTTAGATCCTTGATATAGATCTGTTTTAGTCCCTGCTCTAGTCCTGATTTAGACTAGATAAGGACCACCTTTAGTCGCTGCTTTAGACTTGATCTAGACCTGTGTTAGCCCCTGCCCGCGTTAGCCCCTGCCCGCTTTAGTCCCGGATTTAGAATTGCTTTAGAATTGCTTTAGTCCCTGCTTTAGTCCTGGTTTCGACAAAGTTAAACCAGTATTTACAAATACAATTGTGTCCAACAAACTTAACCTTTTTGACTCAGTCAATCACATTGCTGAATATACAGTTTTAAAATGAGGGTGTCCAAAGTATAAAATTCTAACTGATTAAATAAGGTTAACCTTGTTTTCTTAAGCTAATTTTGTCAAAAGAACCAAAAATAAACCATGACTAGAAGTGTCTGCTCAACAAGAGACATTGGTGTCGCATTTCTGCACTCAAAGTAAAGGGTGTGTGTTTTTATCCGTCCCAAAATACCTGTACAACGGAATTATGCAAGAAGTTTAGGAAGAGTGATTTAGTCCAGACTGGAGTCATAGATTCAGGTGAGTGTCAGGCTGTACCGTGATGCTTCTTGCCGCTCTGCACCTTTCTCTTTTCCTCTGAGGGCAATTGCTGTCTCTGATTGGATGACAGGGGCTGGAGAAGCTTCTGATTGGCCGATGGTGGAGGTAGGAGCCCAACAGTAGTTACAGACATGGGAAGACTTTTGAAAATGGATCCAAACTGTTCTGGAGACCTTTCCTGTAAAAACAACAGATCGTATGTCTCAACCAGGTCTAAACCAGGCATAAAGCAGATCTAAATAAGAGACTAAAGCATAGACTTTAACAGGTCTCAAGTACGAAGAAAGCAGGATGAAAGCAGAACTACAGCAGGACTAAAGCAGGTTAGTACCATCTCGCGGCGGCGCACCCGGGCAGACAGGCTCCGCCCCAGGCTGCCGTCGGTCTGGTCGTGGTTTAAATTGCGGTCGTGTTCATACAACTCCACGTAGGGTCGCTCCAGGGGGTCCTCCGTGCTATCATCTTCCTCCAGACTCAACTCGGCCTCAGAGTCCAGCCTGGGCCTCGCCACCACCGCCATGTGACAACCACCACACGACACCTGCGAGAGACAAGTAAGTAAGTAATGTTTATTTATATAGCGCATTCTACAGGCCAAGGTCACCCAAAGCGCTTTAAAATGTTCAGAGTTCAGATATTGTCCCAATCACGCCACACAAGGTGAGGACAAAAGCGAGTCACCAAACACACTGGCGCATCAAAGCCCCCAATCAACACCATCCATTACGTTCATATCTATTGTGCATGTTTTTAGTGGCAGGGAAAACCGGAAAACATGCAAACTCTACTCAGAAAGGCCCAGGATTCGAACCCAGGACCTCCTTGTTGAGAAGCGAGAGTGCTATCCACAAGCACAGAAGGCTTAAACTGGCCTAGCAACACCCGAGAGAGACTGAGAGAGACTGAGAGAACCAGGGAAACACCTGAGGGAGCATGGGAGAGACAGAGTTCAAAAGAGACAGGGAGACTAAGAGCCTGAGAGACAGGGAGTGCCTGGGGGACACCTGGAAGTCTGGACTTACCGTCTGGATGGTGAAACTGAGGAAGCGTGGACACAGCGTGGGCTTGAACTGGTTTGTGAAGTTCTCCTCTCCCAGAGCCAGCTTTCCATGACGGCCGTCCCCAAACGTGTACAGCAAACCACTGTCTGCACACAATGTGTTTGCAGAATGAACCATGTCCGAGAACAGCTAGAGTAGAAGTAGTAGTGGCAGTAGCAGTAGTAGAAGTAGAAGTAGCAGCATCAGTATCAACAGTTGTAGTACCTGTAATCAGAGCAGTGTGGTTCTCTCCACAGCTCACGTCACAAACTCGTCCTTTCCTAAAATGCTCCACGTGTCGCGGGAGTCGAGACTCGAAAATGAAAGTGCCATGTCCCAGCTGTCCGTACTGCCCCAAGCCGAATGTGTACACATCCTCATCTGAAACCCAATACAAGATCTGAGTATTCACTTCAATCCTTCAGGGACGACGAGAGAAAAGAATAAAATTGATGTTTTTGTCCCCTGAAGAAAATGAATCTTTAGTCCTGCTTTAGACAACAGCATCACATGACACTCTCTCCCCAAGCAGTGCAGTATGCTGTGGTGGTTTGTACCTGTCAAGGCCACAGTGTGACCCCCTCCACACGACACCCTCCGCACTGGGTCACTGATGCCCCTCACTCTCTGGGGAAGCCGGTGCCCGCTCAGCTGCTCCGCACTCAGACCCAGTTTACCACAGTCTGTCTCTCCAAACGTGAACAGCTCCCCATCCACTGCAGAGTACAACACAGGTTACTCCTCTCTGGTCTCTCCCCTCTGGTCTCTCCCCTCTGGTCTCTCCCCTCTGGTCTCTCCCCTCTGGTCTCTCCCCTCTGGTCTCTCCCCTCTGGTCTCTCCCCTCTGGTCTCTCCCCTCTGGTCGCTCCCCTCTGGTCGCTCCCCTCTGGCCGCTCCCCTGGACCGACGCAGACTAACCTGTGATGAGAGCGGAGTGGTAGTAGCCGCAGGACACAGATCTGACTCGTCTGCCTACAGTCACCTCCTGAGGTCTGGACACATGGCTCTGTTTGCCCAGACCGATCTGCCCCTCCGAGTTATCGCCCCACATGAACAGCTGCCCGCTCTCTGTAAGACATAAGACCAATTAGTCCTGGTTTAGTCCTGGTTTAGTCCTGGTTTAGTCCTGGTTTAGGGCTTGTTTGGACCCACTTTGGAAATAACAGTCCACCTGCAGCTCAATATGTTTCTTATAGAGCTCTCTACATGTCCTGGTCATTTTTTTGACATTTTAGTGCAAATTTGATAAAATCTCATATTTGAGCCTAAAACTGTTGAGTGGCGCCCTTTTTGGTGGTACTACATTTGAATTTGGTGCCTGGCCTCTCCATTGGCTCTGGACTGCAAAGTGACGTGGAAAGAAAACCAGTGAGAGCAGGTCCCGGCTCAAGAACCTCCATGAGCATAGCGCTGACATGCTTGCAATACCACCCCGGGCCGGTGGGGGTGGACCCAGAAGGAGAATTATCCAATGCTTTTGCCGTCTTCTTTCCTCTCGAAAAAGTCGGCTCTTGGCCCAAAGCTACGTTCCAAATGTGTGTCAAAGCTGAGGGGAGTACCGTATACAATACAATACAATTTATTCTTGTATAGCCCTAGGTCACAACAGAAGTCATCTCAGAGGACTTAACAAAACCATTGAAATCACCAACACAGGTCAGAGAATCAACGGTTAAAACACATGAAAAATATAAAGCACACACAGAAGAAAATGTCCATACATGTTGTAGAATGATAAAGTGTCCTGGATCATCACCAATCCTTTCTGTTGGACACTAACTGTCCAACAAGACAGACATTATTTGGACCACTCTAGTTTAGCCACTGTGGACTTCAGAAGGCACTGGTTAAATCACTACCAGCGGCCATTTTGACAAAGCCCCAAAGAAGGCAAAAGTGATAGGCGTGACTACGTCCGTTAATATTTACAGTCTAAGGTTGAAACCAACCAAGTCTCACACACAACCGTAGCGAGTTTGAGTACTCTGGTGAAATCCAGAGGTTTAAAATTAAATTAGTTCAGGTGTGTAGCTACACATTAGAAATTCTGGTGTGTAAACTATTGCTTTAAGCAGCAATGACAACTGTCTGATTTTTTTTGTGTGGGCTGTGATTGACATGCAAGCTGTTAATCCAGACCAGGCCCAACTCTAAGCCCCCCTTCTCGTCCCCTGGTCCTCCAGGCACCGCCCTTATTAGAGAGAATTTTAGAATGTTCGTGTGGGCAGAGTAAGGCTGGGCACAGGTGTTCAGTTTTCCTTTAAGGAAAGGCAACATCTCTTCCAGATAAATGTAGTGACACCTGTGAGGCTTTATTACTATTGTAATAAAGCCTCACAGGTGTCTCTTCTTGTTGGACCCTAAAGCAGACCTGTGAGTGCGGCCGACGTGTTGGAGCCAGCAGCGAGCACTTTGATTGGTCCGTGAGCGTTGAGCTGGACTCTGTGGAAGGTTGTCCGTTCATCACAGTCTCCAAGGCCCAGCTGTCCCTCACTGTTCCCACCGCTGGAGAAGAGCTGCCCGTCCACTGCACACACAGGACACATTTACACACGTTTGAAAGTGTTGTGTACAAAAGAGGGAATAATACATGAAAATATATCTTTTTATAACACCAAGATTTTTATTGTAATGAACTCTGACCTGTGCAGACAAGTGTGTGGTTCCTCCCACAGGCCACTAGGTGGAGTCGTTCTGGCTTCAGAGCTGGAAGACAGAATATGGATATGTGTTTAAATTCAAACATGCACCAGTATGAATGCTGAG